CTTAAGAATTAGAATTCACCAGAAAATTAAAATATGGAAACCATGAAATTTTCATGGGTATTGCTAATAATAATAATAATAATAATAATAATAATAATAATAATAATCAATAACAATAATTAAATAATGCTGTGATATTGGTAATAAATGATAATGTAGAGTTAATGTTTTTAAGCTGAGTATTATATCAGTTCCTGGCTCAAAAAAAAAAGAACCTTTTTGTTATGTGTAGAGAATTTGTATTTGTTAGATAATAAACAGTCTGGTTCAACCATATTGAAACAACAACTAGAATTGAATTCTAAACTGAACCAAGAAAAGAGATCAAATGCAGCAAAATAAAAAAATCAGATAAAAGCAAGCATCATTGCAAGTATCATTAATGTACCCAACATCGTTCAGATGCTCAAATCTTTTCTTTGTATATTTCCTATATCGGAAACCAGTTTCAAGCTAAGTGTGTTTTATGACTGTGCCACAGGAAGCCATCACAGAAAAACAAAAGCTTAATCCCTCTATTTAGCAAAGTCATATCTCTTGTCAGAAACTTTCCTATGTTTATCTCTGCTAGCTTTATTTTTGTACACAAGTGTAAACAAAGCAATTTCTTAGCAATAAATGAACCTTTTTTCTAATTTGATATTATAAGAAATAATTTCAAATTAAAAAAAGTCCTTTAATTTTTTAGAAAATATTTTGTTTTGAGGGCAAAAATAAAATAAGAAGATATAAATTTCAAAAGATCCTAAATATCTGATGTGCATTTCTTAAATAGGGTAATTTTTTTTTTTTTGCAGTGATGGCTTCCCATGACTCACTTGTAAAGAACTCATGGCTGGAAACTGGTTTCTTAAATAGGGTAATTGAGTCTTGTATTGTTGTGATGGCTTACCATGGCTCAAGTTTCATATTGTTAATACAACATTTTAGCTAAGTTGTTCCTCAGCTCATGTTTCTAGAGATAAAAATTTTCTTTTCTTCTCATGGATGACATCTGATGAAGGCTGAGGTATGGACTGGTCGAAACGTTGTGCTAACAACAGAAAATAGAAGGAGACCTGGAGAAAAGATCTAAGCTCCCAAACAATGTTGGAAGTTATAAAACTGTACTTTATGATGAGCCTATGAAAAATAGTATAAAAACCAACAACAAGACAATCCATAAATTCAAAACAGGAATAAAATTTTCCAAAAAATAAATGACCAAAATCAACATAATTTCAGATTCAAGAGGTTTTTTTTTCGGAATGGCTTACTTATCTTTAGTGCTCTTGTGCAATTTTTATCTGTTCTCTCAGCTCTCAGTGTTCTGACTGATCGACTATTGCAAGCAAACAGAGAAACTAAAAGAGACAGAAACATCCTGATGACAATATGACAGCTGATGAAAATGTGAATTCAAGAAAAGAAAAGGAACCTTTTCAACCAAACCCATGTGACCATAAAGGCATCAGTTACAACAGGGGGTAGGCACATCAAAATAATATGTCCATTAGTAGGTTTTGGTATTTCTTTGGTTACTAGTTACACAAAATAATAATCTATTCAAAACAGGAACAAAGTCAGAAAGTATATAGCAAACTTCAGTTATCTGGAAACTTGTTTTCTACAAAATCAACATCTCAAATTATATACTACTAAAGGTACCTAAATCACTACAAACCACACACTGCAATACTCAATCAAAAACTACCATAGCAGTCCAGGTATCTGTAGGTAGATAGGACTTCATTTTTGGGCTTTGCTATAAATGTCTCATGAGATTTATTGAGAATTTTTAATTATTGAAAAATATTTTTCTCAGATGTACAAGTTTTAATAATAGTAGGAAATGTATTAAATATTAAACTAATTTCTCAAACATTTGTGTAGTATGCTCATAAATTTTTTCTAAAAACAAATAAATGTACCAATAACATGCGAGTATAAAATTGCTATTTATATTCTCATAGTGAAACTCGAGCTGTTATTGTGATATGAACCTCTTTACACAGGGCCAAAATGGTGGGATCCATCTCAAAAAAAAGTTTGCCCATCCCAGAATTAGATTTTATGAGCTGTGTCAATAATTTCATACATGGTTTAGTAGGTCAGAAACAGGCTCACCTAAATCATAGATGAGTAGACTAAACCAATACAAAGAAACAAAAACAAAAACAAAATAAAAAAAAACATCTTATTTTCTTAAGGTCACATATGACGTATTTTCATATATTCTATTTATAATCTCAGACAGTTTTTGGCATTTTTAATGTTTTAAAACAAATATTCTGGACACTGTTTTGGACAGACATAGAGAAACTAAGAAAATCTTTACCAAACATAAGAATACTAAATCAGGCATGCCAGAGCATGTGCCGAGAGAGAAAAGAGCAAAACATGTTTTAAGCAGATGGAATGAAATAAATATAATACACACAAAATTATAATGGAAGTCAAATATGTTTTTCAAAATCCAATTTTTCAACAAACTGTGTATGTTTTAATCCTATATGAAAAAAAATAGTGCTAGGAAAAAATAGTTTTAACAGTTAAAGTCATTCATATCAGGGTAACCAAAAACCATTTGAAAATTTTTTACTGCTACTGAGAATAGGTGTCAAAGAAAGATCAATTTCTTGATAGGACCACGCTAAGTGCTTTTAGCCAGACATTTTTTTTCTAATTTTAACACTAATAAATTGAGATCTTGATATTCTCAGGAATTTGTTACATGATGGTGAACAAGTTGAATTAAAGAAAAGATTAAAGCAAAAAGAAATAAATGACTTCTACCAAGAAAACCACATTCAATATACACCCAATGATGTTCAGAGAATGTACTGTCCAACAAATTGTATTAAAAACAACAAAATAAAAAAGAAGACAATGGTTCAAAGGTATGTGGAATAAGAAATCAGTCAGTTCTATGATCCTCCAAGAAGTAGTCATTGTTTGACCAAATGCATTCCTTCATCTTCTATGTCTTCATAAAACTCCTTCTCTTTCATTTTCATTCTTTGCATTATTTTTGGCCTTTTCTTTTCACTATACAGATTCATATTCAGTTTGCCATGCTGCATATTTTCCAGTCAAGTTCCGTGCAGATGGTTTTGTTCTTTCAAGAGCAACCAACACATCTGCTGTCGTTAAGGTGTCCAGTTTAATATGAAGGTCTTCCCCTGAAATGGAAAATATAGAGCTACAAGAAAGTGTTCTAACCATGAGTGTTTAATAAAATTGGATTTTAATTTTCTCAGCTATTTCTCTTAATCAGACATATCAATAAATATGTAAAAATATTTTGTCAAAGAAAATCAAAACAGTCTAAAGCATTGTTAAATTACAGAGATGATACCATAACTTTACTTTAGGTTGATAAATAAAAAATGTAAAGCAATGGCAGAGAGAGCCAAGTTTGACAACAAGGGCTTCAGCAGCAGCGGGAATAAGGAGAAGTTTTGGTCATCAAAGGAGGTCAAGCATAACAACAAGGTAGAGCATCAGGCAAGCAATAAGAATGTTAGTTTTAAAGATCCTAGTTCCAGATATAGGATTGTGCCATGGAACTATAGTCTAGAAGGTTAAAGTATTGGTTCATATGCATTTGTTTTATAGATTATCGAAAAGAATTTGACAAGGTATAGCACAGTGATCTATTTGAACTGTGAGGAAAACTAGATTTTAGAATAATTAAAAAAATTATACAAGGAGCAAACTATATGAATACAGAAAGAAAATTGAGTAGCTATACAAAAATAGAAAGGTTTATGAGACAAAGATGTGTTTTCAACCCGGATTTATTCAACCACTACAGCAATGATATCCTAAGGAAACTGGAGACCCTACCAGGATTTATCATTGGTGGGTGTAATCTTAACAATATAAAATTTACAGATTACACTGTATTGATGATCCTGTGCAGCACGGTAGAAAAAAGTGGATAAAAAGGATTAACCATCAAGTACAAAATGACAGAAAGTATGATCATCCGTTAGAGAAATAGCCCAAGAAATGAGTTACAATTTGGAGATATAGACATCAAGCAAGTGCAAAAGTTTAAATATATGGGAAAATGTTATGGTAATTTAACCAAGCATGCCTGGACTCTTCCAACTATAAATAGGAGCAGGTACTGCTTTTTGGAGAGGGAAGTTTCCAGCAGTCAGCTCTGACAGTCAGACTGAACATTCTTGTTGTAACACTCTTGTTTCTATATGTTTGTATTACTGTTTCTGCTAATATATTTTTTAAATTCAATTCCTCCCTTGAGTCTTTATTTCTGGCCCTAACAAGGCCACAACAGAATGTTTTCACAAAGTTTGGAAAATGCAGCACCAAGATCCAAACATGCATTGGACTAGTGAAAGAATTATTCCCAAACCTAAGCAACGGGTTAAGAAATGGAAAAATTTCATTAAAGACAAAATAAAGTCTCATGGATTTTGACATCTCTTATATGGCAATCTCTTATACGGCAATGAACATTGGACAATCTCCCCACTGATGAGGAAAACACTAGAGGTAGCATAGATGTGGTTCTACAGAATAATATTGAAAATTTCATGGAGAGCAAGTAAGCATGAAGGAAGTCTTAAAGAAAATGGCAAGAGAAAGAAAACTTCTACACCGAATCAGCAAAAGATAGCTGAAATTCCTTGGAACCTAATGAAGAAGGATGGTTGTAAAACTTAATCCTTTTTTCTTTTTATGTGCCATGTCCTTTCAGGACATAGGCGATCATGGCTCTCCACATCCTTCTATCCATTGCTGCTCTCATCAAATTCCTTCCCTCTGCTTTCTCCCCTAGATCACGTTCTGTCATCCACTTGCTTAAGCCTGCATTGTTTTCTTGTCTCTCTTTCCCTCTATTTGACCCATGAGTATCAGATTCTCCAGGCCCTCCTTTTCTCATTTTGTGTCCCAGAAACTTCAGCTTCTTTTCCTGATGTTAAGTATATGCCTCCTCCTTGTTTGCAAACTCTTTAAGATCTCATTGTTGCTCACATGCTCGGTCCATGATATCCTTAGCATCCTTCTGTAGAACCACACCTCTGTTGCCTCGAGTCTCTTCTTCAGCTTTGAGGAAATCGTCCAACATTCACTGCTGTAAAGAAGGATAAATTTCACGTAACAGTTCAATATTCTTTTCTTTGTTACCAAAGAATTCCTCCTGTCCTTACGGAGCGTATTAAGGGAACGATAGATAGGGGAAGGCAGTATGTCATTTGCCTGAAGAGTATGTGTAAATGGATTGCAGAATGGGGGGGGTGTAGTCTTTACAATATAAGAAAAACTGCTAAAAGCCACATGAGATAGGAAGTTTTGGTGGGTCACAATTATTTACATCCTGAAGGGAAGTGACACATAGATAAAAAAATTCTACAATTTCTCCTTTGGAAGAAAGCAGTGTCCTCACCACACCAGCGTTTAGTCTTTTTATGAGTTCAACAGATATACAAAAATAGAAAGCTGTGTAAGACAAGGACTTCTTCTCACTGGACTTATTCAACCTATAAAGTGAGGTGATTCTGAGAGAATTAAAAGTCTTCTCAAAGATTCATTATTGATGGCTACAATCTTAACAACATAAGATATGCAGAGGGCACAATGTTGATAACAGACATGGAAAGAAAACTACAAAAACTCCTACATAATGTAGTTAAGGAAAGCAAGAAAAAAGGATTACATATCAACTGCAAGACAACAGAATGAATGGCTGTTAGCAAAAAGATGAGCCCAAAGTGCAAATTACAAATTGGTGATACCAAAATCAAGCCACTACAATAATTTAAATATTTGGGAAGTATTTTAACAGAGTACGGAGAGTATGACACTGAAAGCCGAAGGTAGATAGGGATACCCAAAGATGCCTTCCGAAAGCTAAGCAGAGTATTAAGAAACAGAAAAAAAACTTTACTAGAAACAAGGAAAACAGTACTGAACTGTTATGTGATATATGTCCTCCTCTATGGCAGTCTCTTCAAAGATAAAGAGAAGACTTGAAGTAACAAAAATGTGGTTCTACAGAAAGATACTGAGTCTATCATGGACAGCTGAGGTGAGCAACAACAAAGTTTTAGAGAAAAGGGAAACAAAATGGACATTTATAGGTAACATCAGGTAGAGACAGTTGAAATCTCTAGGAAACATAATGAGGAAAGAGGACTTGGAAAATCTGAAACTCACAGGACAGATTGAAGACAAGGGAGACAGAGGAAAATAACATATAACATACTAAGTGTGCTTGAGTAAATAGACAGCAGAACAGGGTTTAGGGGAAATAACAAAAAGACAAAATTTATTGAGAGCTACAAAGGACAGGAAGATGTGGAGATCCAAAATCGTTTCATCCTGAGGGGACACATAACAAAGAGGAAAACTCAGATGATTTGAAATAAACAATGCCATTAATGTTTGATGCGATCCTACTTAATGCTTCATTGCACAGTTAGTGTTGTATTTATTCAAATTAGAGCTATCAACCTTCTAGTTTGTTTTCTGTGAAAAATTTCATGTGCAACTGAGACCTCTCAAACAGATAATTTTGCATAAAATCATTTATTAGATTACTTAGTAAAACTGCTAAAATAGTGTTTGATTGGCTAATATTAAACAGTATATTTATTTATTTTCATCTGTCAGCTTGATTATTTGAGAAATTTTATTAAAGAAAATATGTGCTCTCCAGAAGGATTTGAAACTGGTGTCCCCCTAGGCAGAGGGAAACCGTTGTTAGGTCTAATTTGCCTTAACCAATTGGCCATGAAGAAGCTTTGTTGATTATGCAAATCTGAACAGTGCCTTTAAGCAAAATCTTTCTTGTAATAGGTTCCTCAAAATTATAATATCTACTCAGTTTCGTATCCAAAATTTAAACAAAGTAATTTTCTAAAGAATGGATTTTTTATTTATTAATCTCACAGATTTTTACATATTTTTATTAATCTGACGTATGTCTGACTGAATAAATTATAAACATTATGTCTGCTTATTTGTATCATAATCCTTTCATATTCCCGAATATTTTCTGTATATTACAATTAAAGGCAAGAAATGCACTGTAACAGTTATTTAATTGTAATAGATAGAAAAATATTTGTGAATATAAAACAATTATGATACAATAAGCACACATAAGGTTTGTAATTTATTCAATCAGACATGCCTAAAAGAGAATTTGCTTCCTAAATACACAAATGTATATATATATATATATATATATATATATATATATATATAAATGAAATGAGAATGAATTAAATATATTAAATATATATATATATATATATATATATATCTTCATAGAATGTTCCATCTATCCAATTTTTTATTAGCTCTTTCAACTTTCTGAATTATATATATATATATATATGTGTGTGTGTGTATCTGCAATGTTATAAGCCCTGACATGGCATCTTGGTTTCAGTTACTTTCCCTCTGCCATAATGTAGCTTCCTTTCAGATAAATATTTACATGGTAATTGTTCTGATATACTTTCCTCTCGGGTACCTATACTTTATGAAATTAAGTGCAATACTAGATGGGCGGCAAGGTCTCGTCATTTTACAGTTGAAATGTCTAGATGTCCCCATAAGTTCTATGCTAACAGTTCCTTCTGTTGCACTTCTTGTTTGTAGAATTATATTTTGGCTTCTTGCTTTGCAGTCAACATAGATCATCAAAAATCTGAATGTTATGTGAATCATTATCTTATCTTCTTAATTCTTGTTTATTTTTATTTTTACTGTTCTCTCTCCCTAATAGTGTTTTCTTTCACTTGTATTTTATCACACTGAGTAACCCCTTGTGTCTAAGTGGCTTTATTGCCTTGATTGGGGTGAAATGATATAATATATATAAAACTTTCGAATTTGATGAAGCCTTGGATGGTGAAATGTATTATCAAATCTATTTTCAATCAGTTCTATTTCATAAAACGTTTGTTAGAATTTAAAAATTCTGTCAGGATTTCAATATCTTTATTTAAAAAACATATATTGTCAACATGAAAAATACTTGGAGGGAACCAAAAACAAATCTTTTACATTCAACCCATTCTGAAGGATTGTATCAGGATTTGCTTTGGATTCATTCCAGAAAACGCAAAATCAATTTCTTGCTTTCGAGTCATTTTGATAAGGAGAAGAGTATTTGCCTTTAATTTGATAAAAAATGCTGGGAAAATACTTTAACAACTTTTGAAATGAACAAAGAATTGTAAAGAAAACATACCAGAATAAATATTAACACTTTTTTAAAAGTCACTCATTTTCTTTCTTCTTTAATCATGAGAAACGTCAGCTTAGGGAAAGTTCTAAGATTCATTATCTAAGCATACACACAAATACACATACACACAAATACACATACACACATTTCATTCTTTCGTTTTCACATATGATGAAGCCTTGAATGGTGAAATGCATTACCAAATCTATTTTCAATCAAATGTATTTCATGAAACATTTCCATTTGTCAAAATTTAAAAACTCTGTCTGTATTTTTATATCCTATTTTTAAACCATATATATATATATATATATATATATATATATATATATATATATATATATATATATTCCACTTCTGCTTTTTAGTATCATCTGAATTAATTCCTAAACATTGAAAATTCATTTATTCTTGTTTTTTCAAAACACAACATGCAGATTCTGTACCTTAATTTGCTGAAAAAAAAATTCAAGATAAAAAAGTACATAATAGTGAAATTACCAAATTCTACTAACAAGTGCTTCTGTTAGCATGGTGGTTTCCATACCCAGCTCTCTGAATAACATTTCGTCTTTTGTATTGATTATTTTCATAGGTGGGAAAAGAAAGACTTTTTTGGTTAAAAACATTGGAAAGCCAATTTTCTTTTTTCCCCCCAGGGCATAATACACTGCTTTTGTATATAACATATGTAAAGAAGTATATGTAGTTTTCATCGTTTCCTATTCTTCTTCTTCATATACCCTGTCCCTTCAAGACCTTGGTGATCATAGCTCTCCACAACTTCCTATCCTTCATAGCTCTATGTAATATTTATCCCCTTACTATTCATTCCAGTTCATGTGCTGCCATTGATTTACCTGGTAGGTTAAGTAATTTGATCAATGTTTCTCTTTGCCCTCTTGACTTCTACATGCCCTGAGTGACCAATCAAAATATTTCATCATTAGAAATGTCAACTGTCTCTTTCTGAATCTAATTACAAGTGACCTTTTTGTTCATTTTACTTAAAACTTCCTAGCTGCTTACATGCTCTGTCCGTGACATTCTCAGCATCCTTCTGTATAGCCAGATCTTTGTTGCTTCAAGTCTCCACTTCATCTGTGAGAAAATTATCCAATATTCATTTTTATTGCACTTAAGCACTATTTACTTTCTTTCTTATGAAATTTTCCTGTTTCTTAATACTTTCTTTAGCTTTTAAAAGGCATCTTTCACTGTTCCAATGCACCTTCAGTTTCCTGCATTACATTTTCCATCGTCTGTTAAAAACACTTCTCTAAGATTTAAGCTTCTCTACTTTCTTGATTCTAACATCTCAAATTCATAGAACATATCTTAGGCTTTCCTACTTGCTAAACAACTGCAGATTCTTTCTTTTTTTCAGCTGATAGTTAGGTCTTCCTTCTCACTTTCCTTAACTACATTATTTCCCTAATATTATAGATTGCATTTATTGTTTTTACACATATGAATGAAGACACACATTATAGGATTTGCAAATGCCTTGCTCTTCGAGTTATTTATCTATTTTTCATCTTATAATAATATTTAATCAAGATATCATATCATAATAATATCATCCATATCTGAGTTGGCCAAATCAGATATGAATGATAAATGTTAATGGTTTTAAGCACTCTACAATATAGTTTTAGTGAAGACAGTCATTTCCTGGGAGATTAACTAAATACTATTATTTTACTATATAATTTTATTAATAAATTTTATATATATATATTAATATGATGAGAGTCGCCCAGTGGAGAACAGGGTCACAGTCCCACCAATGCTAGCACCCTTAGTGTCAGACTGGTGTGGAGATTAGGCTCGGGACACCAACCAGCCTCTTTACTACCATTAGAATCTTCTGAGTAGAAGAAAGCCATTGGCAAACCCTGAGGAGAATATGACCAGTAGAGAATCCTGGAGAGAACAGTGCTGCAACCTCACCATGTTAGCCTCTTAGGGCCATAAGAAACCCCTAAATAGAAGATGGTCAAAGCCTTATCATCCTAGCCTCCTTAGCTCTATCAGATACCCCTGTGGAGAACAAGGCCACATCCTTAGGACACCAGTCATTTTAGTGCCATTATAATCCTTTATGTAAAAGAAAGTCACAGCCTCACCCAGCTAGCCTTCTTAGTGCCACTGAGGAGAAAAAGGCTGTAGCCTCACCACATTCACTCTTTAAAGAGGTTTCCATAGCAAGTAGGTTTTATGAGGTGGAGTAGCCCACTTCACATGCATTTTGTTTTGAATTCAGAGTTTTCTTTCTCTTAGCCTGGCTTCCAACCAAGGCTACTCTGCCATGTTGTTTTGGTCACAGCTGATTGGAAAAAAGATGGCTTAAAATTTTTTCCAAGAGTGTTTCTGCAAAAGTAATCTCAACCACCTTGTTCAGAATTCCAACTTGGCTTGCTGATTACACTCTCCATGCTGATAAATGCTATGACACTGTCATGACCTGTCAATAAATGTTGTGGAACACTGAGCAAGAAAGGTGCTTACAAATGTTAGGCTGATGTAAAAATTTCCAGGAGCATCTATGACACAAGGATAGCAAAATCTTGAATGCCTTGAATATTGCTTTACTAAATGCATATGTAGTGTTCTTTTTTTTCTTATACCCAATAAAAGGCCCAAGAGACACTCAAAGTAAAGTTGTTGAGAATAGATAACAGTTGACACAAGACTTGAATAGTTTAAGATTGTAGTCTCTGGGGAAGCATCTTCTCAGAAGTATATTCCGCATAGTAGCAGTTCTTAGGAAGTAGCTTTCTGAAAGGAACTCCTCTCTTAATAATGGAATCTGAAGAGAATGGGGATGATTTAACCCTGTATATGTGATATGGCATTTCATAGCTGTAAAGGTCTGAACTGGGGGAAGTAAGGATTGTAGATCATCAGATCATTTGTCATGGAAATAGTGAAAACAGAGAAAGGCTTGCAATGTTTTGTCTGTGGGAAAGGTGTTGTAGGGTGGGAAATAACTAATCAGCCTCAAGGTCATGCAGACATTTTTAGACTCAAAGCTGGAAAGTGAGGATTGAACATCTCTAACCCAGCTATGACATTGTAGACTCGTCCTTTTCCTACCTATCACCCCTAGTAACAGAACAGTCTATATCTTACGCCTATGTACGGAAAACTTCAACCAATAAAAACCGTACTAGGCGAATCAGCAAATCTCATTGGTTAACGACACAATAATCTGAAAGTTTCACGTGCAAAACGAAATTGCGCCAAAACTTCTGTGAGCCGATTTTGGACTTCCAAAAGATATAAAAGAAAACGCTGACTGACCAAGGCAGTCAGAGACAAACAACCACAGAGAAATTGCCAACATACTTCACGTCACTCGAAATCACGATTTTACCGCGCAACAGTACATCAAGCTGACTCACTTGCAATTTAAACTCAACCAACTCTGTGGACATCGAATCACAAACCTTGCTTATCCAAAGTGAATTATATTCACTACCTGTTAAGTAAAAATCAATGTGCGAACGATTTAGAAATATTACAGTCAAAGGTAGATCACTCCATAAGAACCCCTACCAAAAAAACACTTAATATTGACAATTTTAATATCAACACAAATCTAGAAAGACTGTAAATGAACAAGCGAATACTAAGAGAGACATACCGAAACCTAAAATATCACACACACTTTGCCATATTAACATATACCAAATATCCTGTTTGTATATTATTTTGAATTGTATATAAATGTTTTATTGGTTTCTAAATTGAATATGTCTTGTTTTTGATCATATTTAAAATTCGTTTGTGGATGCAGAAAGTCACGCAACCTACACAAATTTCTTCTGATTCACTCAATTATAATTAATAAATTCTGCACATCCCCAATAACATCGATACTCCATTTTTACTTTGTGTTGACTTCTATTTTCATTATAAATTTTTAGATTAAAGTTTGCTGAATTAGTCACATTCTTCTTATAACATCTAAAACTAAAGATAAATTATCACCAATACTTGATAACACCATGCACTTATCAATAATAATAAAAAAAATGATCTGATATGAATATATAAATGCTTTTTAAGTGAATACTACACAAATTCTAAAGATGATTTTGCCATACTCATATGGGCAGATTTAAATAGAAATTCAGTTGCACAAATAAAGGCTACATTTCTTATAAAAAACTGCTTCACTGACCACCATAAAATTTGTAAAGGCACCTTGTCATGGTGTAATATTTAGCAAGTTGGGTTCACACACCATTACTACTGACCAGTGAATTCACTTCTCACTGAGTGTCTAGTAATTGTGTCCTTGTGCCAAGACTAATATATGCTTGGGAAATAGCAACCTACCTTCTGTATGATTCTCAAGAATGTTGAATATTTTTCTCACTGGCCTCATTGCAGCTTCTTTACATACGAGTTTTATATCCGAACCTGAATAGCCTTCAGTTTTCTGAAAATAAAATAGTTACAAACTAAAGGATTTCATAGAGAGCAGATGTCTACATTACATTTATAGTTAAATGTATTCATAAAATAAATCATTAGCAAAAAAAAACAGAATCTCACTGTCAGCCTAAGTCTTTTTATACATTGTCAGGTTAGGTTGATTAATTGAATGGCATATCAACTTCAATAATTTAATCTTAAATCTAGTTCATGTAAAAGAGAAGTCATCATCAATTAATAATTAATTAATAGATAGGTAGACACAAGTTCAGTTTTATAAAAGAATCAAAATGATAAAAAGAAGCTTCGTTTTACATGAGAGTGAAAAAGTTAGGCATTGGTTCAAGTTTACACTTGAATCAGAAAGGTAGACACAGGTCTGGTTCACACTAGAATTAAAAAAAAACAGTAGACATATGTCTGTTTTACACTATAATAAGAAGTTGACATATGTCTGGTTTACACTAGACCAAAAAGTAGGCATATGTCTGTTTTACACTAGAATAAAAAAAGCAGATATATACCTGTTTTACACTCAAACTAAAAAAGTAGATATATATGCCTGTTTTATATTAGAATAAAAAAAAGTAGACATATGTTGATTTTACACTAGAATGAAAAAATAGACATATGTCAGTTTTACATTAGAATAAAAAAGTAGATATATATATCTGTTTTATACTAAAATCATAAAAGTATAAATATGTCTGCTTTGCATTAGAATAAAGAAAAGTAGACATATATCTGGTACACACTATAATAAAAACTAGATATGTGTCTGGTTTACAACAGAGTAAAAAAGTAGACATTCTTTTAGCTTAAACTAGAGTTAAACAGAAAGACATCAGCCTGGTGTATACCTGATTCAGCAATTATCCCACAAGAAGGTGGCATCCTTTGTGGAGAGGTGGTCTTACCCCTCTGTAAGGAATTTATTTTGTATCTTCTAAACCACACAGCCAGGTAATCCTTGTGAACATAATCATGTTTCCTGAACAGAAATCCTATACTGACCTCTAAAACAAAAGTACACACACTGCAAAGGTCCAGATGAGTAGTCAGTATAATATTGTTAATGTTTTGTCCCCAAAGACTGACATATTTTCTACTGATCCAAAGCAACATTGTATGAGAAATATCAGCATGCCCTGTTTTGATTGACTTATTTTTTTACAGCTTATAATCCCTTTGTGTTATTTTAAGATTGTAAGAAGAATTCATTCTTTGGTGAGTAAATATTGCATTATGAATTAAAAAAAAAAATAACAATGATTTTTCCAGATACAAGTGCCACTGATCAACCCATAGTAAAGTGAAAGTCAGTGCCAATGATAAGAAGTGATAGAAACCTGTGAAAATTAGAGCTGTTCATTATAGAAACTAAGAAAGAACAAGAAACGCTAACATCAGCAGAACTAATTGTCACATGTGAGAAAACGGAATAACAAAGAAGAACAATGAACTCTTCAAGTTTAGTAGAGCCTGTTAAAGTTAAAAGACAGGAAGCATTTTAGCCTGTCCTTCATGAAAAGAACAAATATTTTCAAGACAGAATTATTTCTCTTCCCTCTCTCCTTCGACAAAAAGGTTATAATTTCAATAGAGTGCAATAAAATTTTTAAAATTTCTGAATGAATTCATACACCATGCAAAAGTCAAAAAGTTTTTGTATGAAGTTCATATTGGGATTTTTTGAATTACTAAATATTCACCCATTGAATAAAACATGTATTTTATGAGTTCACTTTGGAAACAATAAATCTCTTCTTCCTTCATTCTTTATCTTTCACGCTCTTACCATTTGTTCAGCAGAAAAACCCACACCTAACTCCACAATGTCCATATGATCTCACACAATGCCAGCTTCTGCCATTGTTTCATTTGTCCTGTTTGTCTAGCCTTCAACCGTCAGAAATTTCTATAATCCCAGCAAAATCTCGTATTTGCAAGAGTGTAATGTTCTGAAATATTTTCTATATGAGTAGTCATTTTATTTGTTTTTTTTTCCTTCAGTTCTCAAAGCACAATACACATGCTTTTACTTCCATGGTGGAAACGTTTTTTTAAAACACCAAATACAGGAATAATTCCTTCCTGTATATTTTCAACCAATGCAAGAACACAAATGGTACTGCCTGACCTGTGCATCTAGTAAGAGATGACAGGGCAGACCTAGTCTAGTTCCTGCATAAAGAACTTTGGCTGTTGAGGAACATGTGTGAAAACGGAATGATGGAGAAGCATATTTGGATTCTTCCAATATTTTAGGATCCAATAAAGTTAAAAGATCATTCAGCCAATCAATTGCATAAACAACCAAATTCTTTTGCAGTAGCACTATCACTCCCACTTCCCTCCTTAGTTAAAGAGGATATATTTTCAGCAAATTTTGTTTCTAATATTCATCAATGATTTTTCTGATGTCATCAATCCTTGACTTGATATCCATGCCAATGACATAAGTATCTATTCCTGCCTTCATGGTCTGATAGGTTCAATGAAGCCAAATTGGTAGCTGACCTCAATCTGTTCTTAAAAGAGGCAAAAAATAGCTTGTAAATTTTAAAACTTCCAAAATGAAATTGCAAGCCTTTAATCATATAACGTTTTTGACCTTCCTTCAGTATAGTAGTCCTGACTATGACAATAAACTACATCAAGCAGCAAGGCCTGTGATCAAGAGGTTTTGAGAACTGTCGAACCACTTCTTAAATGCTATTCTTCCCAGGTCCACTCTGACTTAGAGTGGTAGCACCTGTAGTCTCGGCTAAGGGCAAATAGTTAACACCCAAACTGGGGTCAAAATATGAAAATATAAAAATACATTAGAAAAAATTACTGGCAATATATTTTCATAGTAAAAAAAATTAAAAATTACCAGCAATATATTTAGAAAATAACATTACCAAACCTTGCAAGAAAATAAAATTTTGGCATTAAATGACTCATAAGGAGTTGATATGTCATTAAACAAACTATTATGGTAATTTACCCATGCATGCATGGACTCTCTAAGCTATAAATAGGAGCAGGCACTGCCTTTTGGAGAGGGAAGTTTCCAGCAGTCAGCTCTCGTTTGTATATATTTGTATTACTGTTTCTGTTAATATATTTGTTTAACTCATTTCCTCTCTTGTGTCTTTATTTCTGGTCCTAACAACGCCACAACACAAAGCAAACCAAATCTTCATCATGGCTGATGCTAACTTCCAGGAGTGGAACTTATTGCACCTTCTTAATCTAATGTTTTCCACTGACATGAAGTGGAATGATTATATCAAATCAAGTGCTAGGTCTGTTTCCAGAAAAGTTGGTTCAGTGTCATGTAAGGCAGTTTTCTTCAAGAGAAGCTAAGATGCCCTTTTTAAAGTCTACTATTTGTCTGTGTTTTGAATACTACTGCCGTTCTGGTGCTTCTGCTGTGTATCTAGAGATTCTTGACAAAATTCAAAGAAGAGTCTGTAATGTAATCGATCATGACCTGGTACCTTAGCTTCAGTCATTTTCCCCACACCGTAACATAGCTTCCCTATGCCTTATCCATATTTCTATTCTTTAATTTAATTTACTATAAAATATTCTATAAATATTTTCATAGTAATTGTTCTGATGAGATTTTCTCTTCAAAATGTTGACTTCACAAATATAAGCACCCTAGCAGATAGGCAACTAGACCTCATCATTTTATTATCTGCTATGTATAATAACTGTTCTATGCTAATAGTTTTTTCTCTTGCACTTCTCATTTATGGAAATCTCTTCTGACTTCTTGCTTTCCTGTCAAATATGATCTTAAAAAATGTAAATGCAATGTCAATCATCATTCTGTGTTTCCTTGAATCCAGATCTTTTATTATCCACTCACTCTCCTTGATAATATTTTCTCGGTTCTTTCACACTAAGTAACCCTGTGTCTTTTTTATAAATATTTTTATAGTAACTGTTTTGATGTGTTTTCCTCTTTGGTACATGAATTTCATGATTTAGGTCCTCTGTGAGATTGGCATCTAGGTTTCATTAGTTTAAAGTTGAAATTGCTAAGTGTAAGTTCTGGACTGTTTCTTCTTGCGTCTAGAACTGTCTTCCAGCTTCTTGCCAACTACAATCTTCAAAAATATAAATGCAATGTCAATCATCATTTTTTGTCTCCTTGAATCTTTCTCAGTTTCTTTTATTCTCAGTAATCCCTTGCATTTTAGTGGATTTATCACCTTGCTTGGGTTGAAATGATTAAAAAGAAAAAAAATTCAAGAAATGTTTTGATTCTGAGTGAGCATTAGCTAAAAGATATTTGATTTGGTTTTTTTACTCATGCAAAAACACTTCTAAATGTCTAAAAAATCTGGTCTTCACTTTGATTCTAATATCAAAAGCAAGTTTTGAACTTTTATTCCCTGCTGATATTATTCCCAAACTTAGTTTCTTTAGGGACCAATTCTGAAGAAGTGAAACAGCCATAATGAATATCTCTTATTAATTACAATTAATTAATAAAATACCTTTGCTAGAAGATCATAGTCCAAATCTGTTAAAAGTTCTAGTCCTCCTTCTTTGGGTATGACCACTTTGGGTAAATGTAGGTTGAACATAGCCTTCCGAGCTTTGGTAGTAGGCAGGTCGACAAGAATCCGTTTCTCAAGGCGACGAAGCATTGCATGATCCAGTTCCCTGTAAATCAAGTAATATATATATATATATCAATAATAAATAGAATAATTCCATTTGGAAATCTATCTTAAAATATTTTTTTTAAATTAATATTTCATTCAATACAGTTTTATAAAAATTATTTTTACTACTTTAAATATGTTAGTCTTGAATGAATGTTCCAGTTCCCTGTAAATCAAGTAATATATATATATATATATATATATATATATATATATTAAATAGAATAATTTCATTTGGAAACCTATCATAATTTTTTTTTTTAAATTAATATTTTATTCAATACAGTTTTATAAAAAATTGTTTTTACTACTTTAAATATGCTAGTCTTGAATGAATGTTTAATTGCCAAAGTTGTTTTTTTTTAACATGCAACTTTGAGAAAAGTGTATTTTTAAGCCAGATGAGTTGTAAAAAGAAATTGTTACAAAATCTATTTTAGAATTAGTGGTTAATGAACTGTCAAAATTATTTCTTTATGAATTGTTGCGGATTCATTTTTTGAATTTATGGAAAAATGAGTTTTCATATTTACTGGCCAATGAAAGACATGCTCTAAAGCCCTTGTGAAAAAACTTGGATGGAGCCTGGTGTGAACTTTCTTCCTTGAATAAAAGGACTGTGGTTGATGGATGGCTTCAGAAAGCAATTAATCATCGAGAAGAAGGCATTGAATAACCCACACAAGGCTGGAGGATTAGTCCAGCCAAAGGGGTCATAAAACATCATTGGGAAAGAAAGAATAGCCAATAGCTAAATCTCAAGTCCCTGGTCAGAAAATGCTTTTCAGCATCTTCCAAAGAATTTGAAGAAAATAAACACTGAAGGTGAACTTTCCAGTAAAGAACTACATAAAGTCCTCAAGACAATAACCTTTTGAAAATGCAAAACTGCTGAGACATTACTATTTAGTATTCACTTGAAGAAATTAGGTGGGTATGCTTTTATATGTTCTGCCTTGTGCAATTTTTATTTCCTCAAAGATTTTGCCTTTTTTCCTTTTTAAACATTGTAATCGTTTTTGTCAATGAATTAGTGTCTTTTCCTAAACTCTAACCATATTTTTCCATTTTTTTGAATGGTAATCCATTTTTGAAACAGCAGAAATTTTTTATCTTGCCATTATTAGTTGTACAAAAGAAAATTTTTGAGCAAATTTTGTATTTGCGCCTTTTTTGTCTTTGAAATTTTATGCTGTGGTTAAATTTTGTTTTGTTATTTGCACCTATTTTGACCTAATTGAGAAAAGAAGAACATGTTCTTTTTTCCCTTTCTATTTTTACTCACAAGGTTTTTGTAGTTGGCACAAGAATTTAGATTTTGGTAGGGAGTCAAAATGTTTATAGTTTAGCTTTGACAGGATATGTACATATGATAGGTTATGATTAAAAAAACAATTTCATGAATACTTTATTCTAAATCTTTGTACCCATATAGTTTGTTTTGGTTTCCACATTTTCTTGAATATGAGCACTTTTGCTAGGATTAGTTCTTTCTTGTATTTTGATAGGACAGGACATAAAATTGAAGTTGGTAGACCTAGTCTATATATATACTGAAACTCAAATAGTAATAGCAATACTAGCTGTTTGCTTATAAGGAAGCATTTGGCACCCAAGTGGTTGAGCAGCAAATGCTACTTTCAGTTGAAATTTATAAAATCATTCTCCTAAACATATTTTTCAGGAAATTACTTGTTATCACTTTTTGCAGCATTTTTGGGGGATTCTTTTCTAACTTTTTCATTGAAGTAGTGCGGAACATCAACATCTTGATTATGTCATTATTTTCTCTTTGAGTAATATGCGCTATCCATTTTCATTGTTGCTGCTGTTGAAAGTCCTCAAATGATGTTATTTGGTAAAGTTCTTTCTTTGTGGCTCTGTAGCACTAGTCCATAAAGTTTGAAGAAGGACGGCCCTCACTAAGAAATTCAGGTTTCATTTTTTTCAAAGCTATTTTTAATCACTGATCTGAGAAGGTGGTAGTATATATATCCAACAGTCACCCTAATACATCAAAGAGACAGAAATAGGTTACACAGATATCATTTTAGCATAGGCTGTATGTTACTGGGCAGCTTTTGTCTCTACTCAACCATAAAGCATATGGGATTCCACATTAAACTTACTACATGTAATATTTATCTACTTATGCTGTATTAATTAGATAGGCACCACAGATGCACATTGTAAACTGTGGTAAATGCAATGAGGCTGAACTATTTCTGCCATTGTTCATGTGTGATGTTTCTTCTTTTATGTACCTTGCCCCTTTAGAATATAGGCGATCATGGCTCTCAACAACGTCCTATCTCTTGTAGCACAACACTGTAGGCAGGTAAATAAGTGCCATCATTATATTAATTTTAGTTTAGCTTGAAAAATGTCCAAAAATATAAAATTCCAAGTAGAAGTTAAACTCAAAACAAAATTCATTTTTGAAACCTCTTCTTCTTATATGTGCATTGTCTGTTCAGGATGTGAACAGTTATGGCTCTCCACAACTTCATCTACTTTGAAGCTCTAAGCAATATTTGTCCTCTTACTATGCGTCCCAATCCCTGTTGTGCAATGCATTTATTCAAGCTTATTAGGTTATTTGATATTTCTCTTTGTCTCTTTTACTTTCAATGTGTCCCGTGAGTGTCAAATTCTCTAAGACTTCCTTCCTCATTATGTTTTTTACAGACGCATAAATACCCATACACACAGACACACACACATGGGATAAGGATATATAAATATTTATATATCAAGAAAAATTTTAAGGGAAAGAAATATGATTAAGTGGAAAAGATTTCTCTTGTGACTAGTTTTGTCCTTTAGGAATTCATTGAACTAAGTTTATGTCTATGTTAATGCGACTACACATGCAGAAAGAGAGAGACTGAGAATTTTAAATGTAAAAATAATTTTTTTTTTAATATGTGTTTTGGGTACATAATCTCGCTGATTTAATTTAGATTCTTTTTTTTTTGTTTTTTTTCCATCACTTTTTTTATTAAATATCCCAGATTGTGATAATAGAAGATCTGTTAAGAATTGTGAAACATTATAAGACCCAGGTTACAAATTTACTGTGAGTGATCTATTCATAAATTTAAAAAAAATCATCTAACAAAATCAAAAATAAAACTCTCCCTACCAATAGTTAAAATAATAAAAATCTGTTGACTCATGCTATTTCACATTTAACAATAGATTTTATAAACAAAAATTTGGATTACCAATGGGATCATCCCATATATATATATATATCATAATTATAAATATTTTCTAAAAAATATGATTTCATGGCAGGATATGAGTTCTCATGTTTCAAAAAACAGAAGCTAAAAACTTTAATTTAATTATGAAAATTAAATTAAAATACCTAATTATATATATATATATATATATATATATATATATATATATATATATATATATATATATATAAAAAGAGAAAAACCGCAAACATTTTTGGTTGTAAAAATATATATTATGCTCTATTTTTTTTTAAAAAGTACACATTACAAACAAAAACGTTTGCAGTTTCTCTCTTCCCTTTATATACACACAAGCCTACCTATAATAAGATAAAGCACAAATTTGATCTACATTTGATATTTAACTCAAACCCATATATATATATATATATATATAAAGAGAGAGAGAGAGACACATGTATATACTAGTTTGAAACAAAGACCTGGAGCAATATGTGATTTCATTTCTTGTGTGACTGAAATTTATAACATATGTACATATCCTGAAACATAGTATCTGAATGCATCTTTCTATACAAATTGTGAATTTTAAATGTTTTTACATTAAAGGCCAACATCAAGGAAATGGAGATTTTCATCCATTGATGGTCTTTTATTTGCAGAAAAGAAAAAAAAATTCTGTATGAAAAGCTAAAAAGATATGTGCCATTTATGAAGAAGGTGCCATAACAGAAAGTACTATTATATATATTTATATACATAAATTCCCAAGAGGATAGAATCCATATATATATATATATATATATATATATATATATATATATATAGTGTAACCCGGATATAAGAGAGTTGTCGGGACCGGAGAAAAAGTCTCTTATATCCAGGTTTCTCTTATATCCGGGTTTGGTCTATTACATTAACACAGGCTCTAATTTGGGACCAGAGAAAATCTCTCTTATATCCGGGTTTCTCTTATATCCGGGTATCACTGTATATATATATATATATATATATATATATATATATATATGTTTGTTTCTTTCAGAAGTGGAATTTTTGATCTGGGAAACTGAAATATTACAGCAGATATGCAGTTATTGATGAAAGACAAATAAAAACACTGATAAAAAAATAATCAGGCTCACAACACAGTACATCTCATCTGACTGTTATATCTGGAAACACTCGAATTCACTTATTACTATGATATTTGGGTGCTTTATGATTTAATGGAAAAAAAATATTCAGAAACTGAATATCCATCCATGATACTGTGCTCAAAGTCAACAAAAGTGACCTCTTTTTGAAAAGAACAATCACAGTTGAAAAAATATGAATTATTTACATCAATGTGGAGCAAAACGTCCTGGTGAAAACAAAATGAGCTACTTTTAATTTTCACTTAATTTCAATAATGTGATGCTGTGTATCTAATGGGAATCGAAGAGCATCATGTATTACAAGCAGCTTCCACAATACCATTCATTGGGTTCAGTCAAGTACTGTTTCCATTTTAATTGATTAAAGGTAGCAATTGATAAAAGGTATCAGGAATTGGTCAGTTGGAAGGTATCATCTTCTATCATTACAATGTCAGACCACACATCTCTTTGTAGACTAGGCTTACCGCCACATCACATTGAAACACCAGTTCTTGTACGATCACCGAAGTTCATTGCCAGGTGCAGACTGAAAACTGACAGTTGTAAAATTTAAATAGTAATATTTGTAACCTAGACATAAGATAGTAGAGAAGTCCAATTATTTATCGGGAAAAATACACTTACATTCAAATACAAACATATATATATATATATATATATATATATATATAGTCATACAACAAATGTGGGCAAGTATACATATGTTTCCTTTGTCATTACAATCTTAACCTGTTCAAGGCTACGATTAACCATTATCTTCCACTCCTATACACACAAATATCCTCCTAATGTAACTCTATACCTCAAGTGGTTCCCGAGCTTTGTAAAGGGTGAAATTTACTGTAAAAATAAAAGATAGAAATGCATACTTGGATAAATATGTGTTTGCATCTTTTATTTTCAAGACATTTTTAAAAAAATGCATAAATAATTTCAATATCTATACACATATGCTCCTTAATATATCCCATAAATATAATGCGGATACAAATATATCTATCTTATACATATTTTCAAATATAATATATATGTATAAACAAATATCATTCATATGTCCACATGTATAGATGCATAAGTATATTTTGGCAGCATGTTTTCATTAAGAAGAAAAAGAACAATAATAAACAGGAATTAAGAAGACAGAAGATAACGATTGACATAGTATTTAAATATTTGGAAGATCAAAGCTGACTTGAAAGCAAAAACGCAGAAGAAATTTCCACAAGCCAGAAGTCTGAGAGAAGAAACTGTTAGCAGAACTCAGTTACATCTAGCCATGTCAACAGTAAATTGCTGAAACCATGACACCTATTATTATTATTATCATTATTATTATTATTGTAATTGTTGTAGCATACCAATGGACAATAATGGATATGTCCCCATTCACATAAATACAGTAGTAAATACTGTATGTTGGTCTGCAGTTGGAGATTCATTCTGGAATTCAATTGACTCACTTCTAGCAGTTGACTACTTCTACACACTGTTGGCAAATCTTATATGTGTTGTTCTTGTCCTAAGTATTATTGTTCATTACCAACCCTTGTTTGATTATTCTATTCAGTAACATTCCCTGAGTTAAAACAGTAATAATAATATATAATAATAATATATTATTTAATAATATATAATTATTTTCATTATAATAAGATTATATTTTATTATAATAAGAACTGAATTTTATTTATAAAATCCATGATTGATATCATGGATAATATAAATAGCTATTTATTAAATTAAAAAAACCACATACCAAGGCATGTTGGAAGCAGCCAAGAGGAAGACCAGATCATCGGTTTTGGCTAGGCCATCCATCTGAACGAGAAGTTCTGTTTTCATCCTTCTACTTCCTTCATGTTCACTAAAAGAAAAAAGTATTCAGTTGTAAGGAATAAAAGCTTCAGAAATTTTAATGCTGCTGCCATTCACTGCATTTAAACAAAAATAAAAATGTAATGAATAAAAATAAATCATGTGTAAAGATAGTTACTGTTTGAACCTCATTTTGGAACAGATGTTAATTTAAGCTGGAAAATGGTAAAACATTGTTTATGTGCATCTAATTACCTCATGCTTGTGGGTTCAGTCTCTGCATCATACGGTAAAAGGTATATATATTGTTTTAGTCCAAAAATTAAAAGCAGCATCATATAACTTGTTTTATACTTTTCTACTGTCATTGAGAAAAAAAAAATATACCAATTTGATAATTTCTGTCCAAATTTCTGGAATGAAGAGTTTTCATTGTTTACAGGTCAATTATTGTCCTCATCATTGTTGTTGTTATCACAATGTTACAGCAATTGTGCCCCCCAGCCTTCATCAGTTGTATATTGATCCGCATAACATACAGGGAATTACAAACTGAATTCTTTATTTAATTTACAAAGGAATGAGAACAGTCTACATTTGCAGATTAAATAAAGGGTTCAGTTTGAAAGTCCCTGTAGGTTACCCAGATCGATATGCCACTGATGAATGCCAGAGGGTATAATGGGTGAAATGTTGTTATCACAACAACAAAGATGAGGATAATACTCCATATATAAATAGTGTAAATAAAAATATACCAATTTTTTTCAAATGCATATCCACATGACTGCTAATATAATAAAATGAAAACAACTTTGTTGAATGATATTCTGTACATGCGGGTCATTATGACATTCCACAATTTCTTATACCTTCTATATGCAATTTGTGCCCCGTTCTGCAATCCATTCACACCAGTTCATTAGGTAGGTTACTCGGCATTTCCCTCTGACCCTCTTCCCTACAGTACGTCCTGTGAATGTCAACTTTTCCTCATTAGGTGTAGTTCAAGATGAATTCTTTTAATGTCATCTAAGAACAAAAACAATATCTTTTTGGAGTAACACAAGAGCAGAAATTATGTTCATTTGTTTGATATCAAGGAAGAAACAAGGAATCTGAACAACTTCCTATGAGACATGAGTGACAGGTTAATTTTAACACCTCGCAAACAAAATGACTCTCTGATGATCATCTGAGAGAACCCTTTTCTGCCTTCCATCATTATGGCTGATGCTAACCTCCAGGAGAGTGACTCATTGCACCTTCTTGGGCTAACATTTTCCACTGACATGAAGAGAAAAGATTATATTGAATCAGGAAAGTTGGTTCACTGTGTCATGGTACCTATTTTTTTCTCACCAGGATCTATTTTACATATTTATAAGTCAACCACTCATCCATGCTTTGAATATTGCTGTCACATTATCTGGTGCTTCTGCTATATATTTAAAGATTCTTGATAAAATAAAATGAAGAATCTGCAATATTATTGGTCTTGACTTGTCATCTTGGCTTCAGTCACTTTTCCACTGCTGTAATGTTGCTACCCTATGCCTTTTCAATAAATTGTTCTGATGAACTTTCTGTTATGGTACCTACACTTTATAAATTTAAGCACAATACTAGATTGTCTGTAAGGTTTCTACAGTTGAAATGGCTACATATAACTGTATGTTCTGAGCTAACAATTTCTTCTCTTGCACTTTTTCGCTTGTGGAACTCTGTTCCAGCTTGTTGCTTCCCAGTCAACTTTGAGCTTCAAAAATCTAAATGCAATGACAATCATTATCTGCCGTTTTTTTTCATTCCTGTTCTTTCTTTTATTGTTCTCTCTTCTTATTAATGTATTGTTCTCATATTCTTTCACACTCATGTTTGCATCTTAGTGGCTTTACTGTAACTCTTGTGGTGAAATGTTTAAAAAAACGGTCCAAATCTTGCCAGAAGCTAGTTAATTATTCCATTTTTATATTGCGTTAACTAACATTAGAGAGTTAGCGGAGAACAATGTGACAAAAATTAACAAGAAAGTTAAGTAAATTGTAAAAAATGAATAATTGTTGCTCTAACCCAGTGGTTTTCTATCAGGGTTCCTCGGAACCCTAGCGTTCCACCAGTAAAGCTCAGGGGTTCTACAAGAAGTTAAACAAGTACTATGATTGACAGTAATTTTTATGGCAGGGGTTCCTCGAGCCACTGGAATGTTTCCTTGTGGTTCTGCTCCAGCAAAAAGGTTGAAAACCACTGCTCTAAGCAATGCTTGCTTCCTTGCTATCAGTGCAAAGCTCTGTTCTGTCAAACGTCTACACAAGCTCAGTAGGTAGGTTACTCATTTCTTCCATCTGTCCTTCTAGCAGATAGCATTCTTTGTTAGTGTCAAATTCTGCAAGCCTCTATATTTCAAATATCTCTTTCTAAATTTAATCATCCTCCTTGATCCTATTTGACTTAAGACTTTTTTTGCTGCTTACTTGCTCCATCCATGCTATTCTCAGCATCCTTCTGTAGAACTACATCTGTGTTGCCCAGTTTCCTCTTCACCTGTGTGGAAATAGTCCAGCATTCACTGTCATATTGGAGGATAGATTTCACATGTGATTTCATTTGCTCCTTGTCTTTGTTTACAACAACATTTTTTCTGTTTATTATTACTTTTTTCTAATCATTTCACAGCAAGCATATTTATGTGAATCTCATTTTTGGCTACACTATGTGCGCACCAAAACAAATCTTCTCTCTATTAATCATCTGAGTGACCCCCTTTCTGACTGACATCAATATGGCTGATGCTAACCTCCAAGAGAGGGATATGTTGTGCCTTCTCAGGCTAATATTCTCTGCTGACATGAAGTGGAAAGATTATATTAAATCAACTACTAGGTCTGTTGCTAGAAAAGTTTGTTCACTGTGTTGCGCTAGATAATCTCCGGAATCTATCTTACAGATTTATAAGTCTACCATTAATCCATGCTTTGAACATTGCTGTCTGATGCTATATATTTAATGATTTTTGATAAAATCCAAAGAAGAATCTGCCATGTTATTGGTCCTGACCTGGCATCTTGGCTTCAGTCACCTTCTCAATGCTGTAATGTAGCTTCCCAGCCAGTCAGTTGATACATGCTTAGGCGATCATGTATCTTTCAATATATGGCTGACAAGGCAATTTTTTTCCCGTAGTAGGTTGCATTTCTTTCTGCGGTTGTCATCCAAGGCCATAGAACCTGGTCTGTCCTGCTATTTACCCATAGCTGGGGTGAGCGGAGAAGAAGAGGATTCATACCTTTCCCAAGGGCATTAGACATAAGTGAATGTAATGGATTTGACTGGAATTCAAACTCAGCTATCTGGTTCCTCAATCCGATCTGCTATCCACCATGTTTCTCAGTACTGTTTCTATAAATACTTTCATTGTTCTGATGAATTTTCCTCTATGATACATAGACTTTATGAAACACAGTAATAGATTAGTAGCAAGGTTTTATCAGTTTACAGTTACATTGGCTAAATGCAACTGTAATTCCTTTACTAACAGTTTCTTCTCTTTCATTTCTCACTTGTGGAATTTTTTTCTGACTTTTTCGTTCCCAGTCAAGTCTGCTCTTCAAAAATTTAAATGCAATGTCAATCATTATCTATTGTCTTCTTGATTACTCTATTGTTCTCTCTCCTAAATGTTTCTCTTTTTTCTTATTCTTTCATACTCTGTAATCTCCTTGTGCTTTACTGTCTTACTTGGGGGTGAAGTGATAAAAAAATAAAATAAATGAAGTATGGATGATTGAAAGTGACAAAACACAATGGAAACAATATATTGCCAACATTAAATAACATCTAGATGATGGGCAACTCTCTCATATATTAAGAAGTATCACCATGAATGAAGTCATCCTTCCATACAACAACTTGCATGAGTAATCACAGAATTCCTTTGACAGAAGAATTTCTAGTAGATGAAAAGACAAAAGCGATAACGCAACTCACATTCCCTGACCATTTGATCCTCTCTGACTCATCACAGAATCAAGTTCATCCAAGAAGATGGTGGATGGGGCATGGAACCTTGCAAGTTCAAACAAAACCTGAAAGTGAGGAAGAAAAATTGAATTAACAGACAAAAATTGTCAAATATTTTCTTTCAAGTGGTAATTTCTCAAAATTACGAGTAGTCCGAGTGTTACTAGCATCATATAGCTCAATATTACCTGCTGCATAGTAGGATCATTGGTTACTAAATTGGTTCCTCCATCAAGCATTTCTGGTGAGGTGGGTGGCTAAGCCCATTGCAGAATAAAAACAAGACCTGTCAAATGGCAGATGAACCTTCTTGCAGGATCAAAGGCCATCTAGTGCAATCAGGTAGACTGGACTTCATAGCTATGGATGCAGCCAGTGTGATAATGACACAGCATCACTAGACAGTGGGCATCTTAGACTAATAAGAAGAATACCCGCTTGGTCCGGTGGCTAGGATCAAAGTGTAGTATCTGCGCTTTGTGAGCTGCCGGGTCGGGTGTCTGTCGAACTCTCTGCTTGCAGAGAGGAACCCGGACGAAGCTCCGCCGAAGGGTAGGGTTTCGTTGGGGGAGGTTGACAGAACTGGCCCGCCTCGGCGGGTTTGGATGGTTATTTATTTTTGGCTGGGCCTACGGGCTCAGAGATACCCACATTAAAAAAGCCTTGTGCCACATTCGATCCCCGTGAGTGGATTGATAAATACCATCTTAGACTAATATTAACAACCAGGAATTATTAACTAATGCAATCAATGACCATAATTTTTAATTTTATCTTAATACTTGCCTCAGTTTCTGCATGTAAGGTGCTAGTACATTATTTAGTATAATTCTCGATACTATGTTTTAATGGGAGTTCATCCTGAGCGGGAAACTGAGTGGTGAAATTTGGCTTAAAGGTTTCCCAGCAAAGTGGATATTTGGACTTATACTAAACTAAAACTTAAAAAACTCAAACTTGCATTGTGTGTCCATATATATATATATATATATATATCATCTCAAGTAGCACTCGTTTGTAGTTGACCGGTTGTTCTTGGTATCCTAAGAACTTGAATTCCTTTGATAAAAGTCAAAACGAAAGTAGGTTGATTAAGTAAAGCAGTCTTCTACTCCACTGACCATCACCTCCTGTCACAAGTGAAAGATAATTGTATGCTTTTGGCCATGGAAATCAGAAAATTAACTTCAAAGTCACTGTAATTGTATCAAAGCACCATTGAAATGATGTCAGTCTACTCTGTCCATATAGTGTCAAATCTAAATTTTGGAAGATGCAATTGATGTGTTGCCTGTAGGATTCTATAGACAGACTCCTACCTGTTATTACCTCCTCTCCCGCTTAATATCCTAGAATGTCAGTTAAACAGTGCACGGTCAAAAGTTCTGATTGACTCTCCAAATTAGTTATCTGAATGTTCATTCCTTGGAATAACTTAACTGGAAATCAGAACTAGGACTGTTTTGTTTGTTTATTTCTTTTGGTATTTTTTTTTTGCTTTTTTTGTGTATGTGTTCTTTTTTAGTAGGAGTAGATAGGCTTTCCTATCACCCAATCCATATTCCTCCCACTTCTCTCGAACAAGTATACCTTGTTTCCTGTTCAGGAAGGGGTTTTCGATTCCTTTCCTTTTTTTCCAGCTTTAATAGTGGTGCTGTCATGAATTTTCATGATATATGTGAATGGTGGCAACATCTTTTCATGCAGAGGGTACCGGATTGGCAGTTTTCTGGTTGCCGTTTTCAACTGGTAGTTAGGAGCCTGAACTCTTGTATAGCATCTTGTGAAGCTGCTTTGATCAATATTAGGGTTCTTGCTGTGTCATGTTGCACATGGAAGGGTGTCCCTGCAAGCACCATTTGTGGTTCAACCCAAGGCCAAACTATGCTGCAGCCTACACCAATTCCCTTCCTATGTGTGATAAAATGGATGACCGATTGCTACTACTACCCGAGCCCTTTCCTAATAAAACAACATACGATGACTATAAAATACTAAAAATATAAATCAAAGCCAGCTCAATAAAAATCACCTAAACTCTCAACCTTTCTTTCTCCAACATTCATGGTATTCATACCAACTTCTGCAGTATGGAATCGGTCCTCTTCAAAAACTCTCCAGACATCCTAGCTCTCTGTGAAACTAATCCTAACTCTTCATTCTCCTTCTCGAATTTCTCAATTCCTGGCTAACTTTTTGTCCTTAAGAAGGACTTTAAAGTCTACATGCATGGCCTGCAAGTTTATATCCATGAACATCTCTTGCTGGCTCGGGAACTCTTGTTTCAATCTCCAAACCACTCTTACATATATCTCCATCTCTCTTTACTAGTCAGCTATCTCTTATTTCTCTACTGTTCTCCTTCCTCTCAAGACTGTTATGTGCTAGATCGTATTTCTGATAATATAGACAAGGTCATCTCTCTACATGCGTTTGCAAATATATTTGTGTTTGGTGGCTTTAATGCCTACCATACCAGGTGGCTTAAACACTCTGTTACTGACCATGCTGGCATCTGAACCTTTAACTTCTCAATCACTCAATCTCTCACACAAGTAGTGGACTTCTTCATGCATTTCCCCAGTAACCCTGAAGGACATGCTTCTCTTCTAGATCTCTTTTTTACCTCTATCCCAGATTCATGTCATTCTATGCTGCTCTGATCATGCACTAGTGTCTGTAAACATCTCCTTCCACTCTCTCACCAGCCAATAACCTCCTACCAATAGAATATCCTTCTGATATCAATGAGCAGATTGGGACTTGCTCCATAATTTCCTTCATGATGTCCAATGGAAAGAACTTTTTAATCATCCTGTTCAAAAATGCACAACTGTGATCTCCTCTTAGTTGAAAGCTGGCATTGATGCTTTCATTCCAGCAGGCAAATACCAAGTTAAACTGCGTTCATCTCCTTCATGCTTGGCCACTATAGCCCACAGGAATCACTTCTGTCTGTACCAGAGTGACACATCTGATTGGAGGATATTGGCGGTGGTTTAACCTCGAGTGGGATGAGCTCTGCCAGGTCTACTTATCCAAGACACACAATGCATGAATGAATACCTCTCCAGCTATCAACCCAGACATGTGTTCAGGTGCTCAGTTGTAAAGCAAGTCTCATGACTGTGACTGGGGATGATTCTCAAAATTTAATTTTTATCTGCTTGTGATGGTTGATTGGTGCCCAGCAGTTGATGGAAGCCATGTTAGAATGTTGCTCTTTGTGACAACTCAGAGGAAAGAGAAGTTATTTGGCAGTGTCCATTTCCTCTCCACGTATCATGTCACAGGTACTAAATGGTTACATGTGCTGCAGAACTGTCTTCTCTCTTTAGTGTATCAGGAAAGGTGAGACTATATTTTCTTGGTGCATAGCAGAGATGACATGAGGAAAAGTTAATTTGCAGTGGCAGATGACAGATAAATGTACAGAAGAGATGGAGAGACTCAATTAACTGCCCAGTGAGAAGTAAGTTTTATTTCAATTTTCTGGCAAGTGTGGTGGTCTCATACGCACGCATACACATATGACTGACCTACTTTTCTCTCTCTACAACTATATTTTCTGTTTCCAGAAATGATCCGTATTTTGAAATAAGAGTTACCAATTTACACAGAGAATAGAACAAAAGCCAAGTAATTAACACTGACAGGTGATAGATAAAAAGACAATATAAAGAAGGATGGAGATATTTAGTAAGTGTCCATTTGAGTGTGAGGTTTTTACCATTTAACTGGAAGGGGGCACTATAGTTGTCAGACACACAAACAAGTACACAAAAAATACTAATCTACCTTTTTCTCCTGATGACTACATTTTCTGGTCCCAGAAATTTTATGTATTTTGAAATAATAATTTCTAATTTACACAGAATAGAAAAAAATACACATAAAGAATTCTAATACTGACAGGTGACAGGTGACAGAGAAAGAGAGAAACAATAAATTGTCTATTTTTGAAAGAGGTTTATTCCATTGATCAAGAAAGTCATATAGTAGCTGTCTCATGTGCATGCAAAAAGACTGACCATTTTGTCTTTACCTACAACTGTTTTCTGAGTCTAGGAACAATCCATATTTTGAGAAAAGAGGTTTGCTTTTGAAAAACAATAAAACAAAGATCTCCAGTGTTTTTCTGTATGTCCTGTTTGCATTTTTATTTCAGTTGATATGAAGAAGTGAATTTAATTCAAGTGGAGGAAAGCAGTAAATAAACTACTTGACCAATGGATGTAGAATCAAGTACCACAAAGAGAGGGATGTAGAAAATGATCATAAAACAGAAAGTATTCCTGTGAAAAATTTGGATCCCTAACATCCTGAAATATCATAATCCCTCACTTCCTGAAAAAACTGGATTCCTCACATCCTGAAAAAAATCTTGATCCCTCACTTCCTGAAAAATCATGATCCCTCACGACCTTAAAAAATCATGATCTCTCACATCCTGAAAACTCTTGATCCTTCAATTCCTGAAGTGACACAAAATATAATAAGAGATAGGGATCAATAAATGTCACTACTATGGTGCACAATAGTCCTTTTACTCTCCTTTGTCTCTCCTAGATATCTACATTCTCAAGAAGTGGACCCACTGATGGATTATCATTGAACATAATGAATTTCTCATCTCATCTTTGACCAGCAGAACAGAAAATCACTTAGCAATCAAAGCACTTTCTATATATTTTCATGGCAGATATATTATCACAATGTGAAACTTGGATCACATGATCATAAAATAAAAATTCTAACCACTTCGATGAGAGCCCATACATTCAATCTCATGGTGGCGTGGGAGTAATGAGTGATAATATTATCAGTCAATCTCATTAATCATGGTAGTTGTAAAAGGTAGATTTGGAGAGAAAGACTGAGAAAGGCAAATCATGTGAAATGGGATGCAACTAGTAATTAAGACTGAACCATTTAGTGTGACATAAATAGAAAAGATTTATAACAAATAAATAATAAGGAAGAAATGTACATGTATAGTTGGTATATAAAGTATCTGTGCCTGAAATGGTCTATTGGGTAAAACTTTTCTTAGGATGTTGAAATGTGTACTGGCTGTGAGAGTTTAATTTTGGCAGACATTGACACATGCATCTATCTACAGTGATGAACCAATGAGAGAAGAGCCAAGCCGAACCCAATAACCAATATCCAGAGGGAGAAAATAGAGGAAGAAAGGATATTGAGAGGACTCAAAATGGTAGGAGTCCTATTTTGTGGGGTGGGGGATCACAAAAACAGTGGGGGGTGGGGTTCTATTTTGTTGTTGAGTACAGAAAAATAGTTCTTATTGTATTAGTGGAGGCTCAAAAAACAGTATGAGTTCTAATTTGGCAGCAGAAACTCAAAAGCAGAGTAGAGGCTCAAAATCAAAAGGAGTTTTATTTTGTTACTGAGTTCTCAAAACTCTGGATACCTACCAACCACCCCATGCAGTCAAATGAGGCACAAGGCCGAATTTAATGTTGGGTATCCGAGCCCGTAGGCTTGGCCAAAAATTTCCCATAGACCCTGTATAAAATGGGGTCAGGTAGCTGTTTTCCAAGATGAGACTCTGCCCTTCAACATAGCCTTGTCTGGGGATCTTCCCTGCCCATGACAGAGAGTTTTACCAGCACATTTGCATACAAATCTCCAACTGCAGACTGAGTTCTCAAAAAGCAGTATGAAACCTATTTTGTTCTGGAGTGCTCAAAAAATGAATTCTATTTTGTTAGTGGGGCTGAAAAAAAGAAAGACATCCATAGATGATAATATTTATTTAAAAACAAATACAGTTTTATATTAATCTCAAAAACATAATCTGAATAATAATATAAAATTAAACTCATTTTAAGAGATGTCAGACCTTGAAGATTAATTTAGGAGTGAATTTTTTATGGGGTACCCTGTAATAACTCAGTATTGCTTTCCAACTGGACTAACCTCATTATCCATTACTCAACACTGAAGTGCCTTATTAATATTAATCACTCTCATTGTCACACTGACAGGCAGCTTTTTAAAAAATTCAAATCTACCTTTAAAAATCTGAACACTGGTGCTTTGTGACTGTCAATTCTTGATCTTTGTCACAGACAGTGATAAGTGGAATCAGATATACAATCTCTCTTGTTTTACATTTGTTTGGATCACAAACTTTCATTACATAAATTACATTTTAAAAATATTGATGGTTTTTAAGTGAAAACTGCATGATTTCCGTTTGATGGGAGAACCATGATGGGTGTATTTAAACAGGAAAAGAGGATCGCAAATTCATCTTAACAATTATCGCTAATGTGGAAATTGTATGCATTTTCAAATTTAACAGAAGACATTAACACAAAGAAACATTGCAAAATCTATCTATGAGAGAAAGAAGTGATTCTTACTCGAACAAGCTTTTCTGAGTCGCCTCGCCATTTGCTTACAATGCTAGAAGCCGATATATTGAAGAATGTTGTCTTGCAAACAGTAGCCACAGCTTTGGCTAAAAGCGTCTTGCCAGTTCCTGCAAATAAGTTAGCAGAATATAGTCACGATATAGTCAGCCATAAAATCATTCTATTCAATATCAAGGTTAAAACAATCTATTTTCTCTGTTATTTTGAGGATGATTAGCTCAGAGGTGCCCAGATATGGTTATGTAGTGGATTGGGCTATGTATTTGTAGTGGACGGTTGTTTATAAATTGAGATGGAGAGGTGAGAACATTCAAAAAAAATGAATATAAGCTGTGAAGGATTTTTATACATCTATTTATCAAGAGTAACATAGCTCATAAAAGAAGAGAAAAAGAAAATTATATTCATGTATGCAGCTAAATATACATGCAGTTATTCATGTGAATGCAGCAAAAAAGCAAGAGAACAGTTATGTACTCAGCCACTGGTGTGCATGAGTGAACCATGTGGTTGGTTGAAATTAAGCAGTTGGCCTACCCAGAAATTTCCCCCAGTGCAGAAAAATCCCATTGTTGCTTCTACTACATCCTGGTGCAAGAAGAGAGTGAGAATGTTTATGTCCCTTTCTTTTACAGTTCTGAATAGAATGCCACCTGACAGGCTACCCAGAAGACAAGGTGGGATTAAATTTCTGCTGATGCGTGTGAATGCACCATGTGGTTGGGTTGAAATTAAACAATTGGCCAGCCTCCAAATCTCCCCCAGTAGAGAAAAGACTCATTGTTTTCTGTATGATATCCTGGTGCAAAAAGTGATCAAATGTGTTTATATCCCTTTCTTTTATAGTTCCAAATAGAATGCTACCTGATAAGCCTCCCAGCAGACAAGGTGGGAGTAAATTGCAAGTCTAATTGGTAACCGGTCTAGGAGAATGAAAACTCTGAATTCAAAAGCAGCATGTAGAGGGATGGACTCTGTCAGGTTATCTAGTCCTAGATACACCACTCATGCTGTGGCTACAGTGCATGCATTACCCCTATAACACTGATGTCTTCAAAGGCAATTTGAAGAGAATACATTACATGCAATATCATTGATGTGGCCTGGAGGTTAAAGTTCTTTTTTTACTGGAAAATATCTAAATTACTTCCAGAAGCAGATTTAACTTTGCTGTTAGATTATTTTGTTATGTTGTTTAAATTTTGTTTACCGTGAATGTTTACTTAAGCTGAAATCATGTGTTTGATGTCTGAACACATTTACCGTAAAAAAGTTGAATTCTGCTACATCTATTATTGGCACAAAGTTAAGTTTGAGTTTTAATTTGGATTTTCAATGTTAGCGTCACCTCACAATCCAAACATCACTGCAATGCAATCTTTTAACTCATCTCCCAATTTAGCCTTGTGGTGGATAAAAGTTTAGACTCTCTTGACTCTCCTGTCAAATTCGGCATATGTGGGTCAAGCAAATCAGTTCCAAGGAAACTGACAGCCCGACAACAGCACAAGATTTGATTATAGTGGTAAAGGTTTTGTGCAGGACCATCCACACTTGAAGGGCCGAATACAGAGACCCGGTTCACTAAGTGCCACAAGGTCCCCAAACGACCCTCCGCAGGTTTTGCATTCAGAGTTGTCCTTCTCCTAGATCAGTTGCCATCCAAGGTTATAGAAACCAGTCTGTCCTGCTATTTACCCGTAGCTGGAGGGAGAAAAAGAGGATTCATACCTTTCACAAGGGTATTAGCACGTAAATGAATGTAATGGATTCGACTGGAATTCGAACTCGGCTCTCTGATTCCTCAAACCAAGCCGCTATCCATTACTCCCCTGTGCCTCCTCTCTCTCTCTCTCTCTCTCTATATATATATATATATATATATATATATATATATATATATATATACATACATGTTAATGTATATTTGGGCAGCAACTTTCTTTTTAAACATTTTCTATCAAATACAGCAGGCAAGGAAGATTTTTTTATTTAGTAAACTAACAACATCAAAAACAAAACCCTTACGAAGTGGACAAAAGAAATAGAAAATTATGGAAAATTTCTGTACTCCTACAAAATGGAAAAACACAAACACACATGTATATATTTACATAGGTAAAAAGTGAAATTATTACAAAAGTCTGTACAATAAACTGCTGTATAGAGAAAATATTAAGATTTGGAAATACAACTAATGTTTTTATATATTTATATCTAATATTTATAATACATATATGTTTACAGGGAATTATAAAGATTAAAATTGTTTTACGGAAAACTGTTTTCCTGAAAACCCACATGTAAGTAAGATAATTTTAATTTGGATAATTCTGAAAATCCACATAATTCAAACCTAAACATATGTGTATTATAAATATTACATATAAATATATAAAAATATTAGGTGTTTTCCAAAATCTTATTATTTCTCTTTCGCTCTCTCTCTCTCTATATATATATATGTATATATAATATATATGTATACATATATATATATATATACTATCACTTTAAATGTTACTTTTAGTGGATACTTACATTTGAGTAGATGTTCTGTCTATTTATTAAAGAGTATGTTTATTTATTTTTGTTTACCAGCCTGAATATTTGAGAAATCTTTAAAAAAATATGTACTCTCCGAAAGGATTCAAACCTGCATTACTCTCGGGAGATCTGATATACTCTTACTGAGTGAGATACAGAGAAAACTTGCTGATGAGGCAAGGTTGAATAGTGTCTTTAAGTAAACTACTTCTCTAATGGATCTAATGACGATTCCCTCTGGTCAAGGGGATGCAGGTTTCAAATCCTGTCAGAGTGCATATTTTCTGTTAATAATTTGTTGTCAATATTCAGGCTTGTTAATGACAATAGATGAAAATATTTTAATAAATAAATGGAGTGTCTACTCAGATACAAGTACTGACTAAAAATAATGTTGAAAGTCTGAATCTGTCAGAATAATAAATAAAAATCCATTATTTCTTTAGAATATACATATATATATATATATATATATATATATATATATAATAAAAGGCTTAAACATTAATATTCCATGGTCATAATTTATTCCATTGGAATCGTAAATACGATCAATTCATCAGACCTACAAATTCAAAAAAAAACAGAAAAGAACAACTCTGGAAATAAAAAATAGAATTTGGAGAGAGGCATGAGAGTGTGCGACAAATGTTAGTGTTAAAGAGAGGGGTAATAGACGGAGAAGGTGGGAGACTAAAACTTAACAGAGAGGGTTTTTTCTAACTAGAGGTGAGTGGAAGGGGGAAATATGAATGTTGTCGGATGTAAAATACATTAAAAAGATACATTTCTTGTGGTGACATACACACACCATAGATGATTTAATGTTAAAGATCAGAATGGATGTATGAGTATATATGTATGTATGTGTGTATGTATTTTTGTATATATATATATATATATATATGTGTGTGTGTGTGTGTGCATTTGTATGTATTTATGTATATGTATGTGGAAAGTGTGTGTATATGGATATGGGTGGATATATGTGTGTGTGTATATGTGTATATATGTGTATGTGTGTATATGTATATATGTAGGTGTAATTATTTGTATATTATATGCGTGGAACTTATTAGAAAGCGCTCAGTATCAGAGATAGAGCTAACATATTGAATCAGATATATGTATATGTGTATATATATATATATATATGTATGTGTGTGTGTGTGTATGTATGTGTATGTGTGTATTTATGTGGATATGTGGATATATGTGCATGTGTGTACATGGGTATATGTATGTGTGTATGTGGGTACACGACAATGTGTATGTATACATGTATATGTTATTGTGTATGTGTGTATTCGCATGTGTTTTTGAACATAAAAATATAGGCCTTCGCTAGATTAGATAATCGTTATATTTATTCTTTATATGTTTATATTTGATTTGTAACCTGTAGTCGATATTAATTTTGTCAAATTTTCTCAATTACACAGCGGCCCTTTGAGTAAATGTCCTTCAATTTTGGTTTCCCCCGCCCCATCTCTCTCTCCCATCTCTTCTTTCCTTTTCTCTCCCTCCCTCCTATTCTGATCTTTAACATAAAATCATCTATGGTGTGTGTATGTCACCTCGAAATGTATCTTTAATGTATTAGACATCCAACAACATTCATATTTCCCCCTTCACTCACCTCTAGTTAGAAAAAACCCTCTCTGTTAAGTTTTAGTCTCCCACCTTCTCCGTCTATTACCCCTCTCTTTAACACTAACATTTGTCGCACACTCTCATACTTACACTCTCTCCAAATTCTATTTTTATTTCCAGAGTTGTTCTTTTCTGTTTTCTTTTTGAATTTGTAGGTCTGATGAATTGGATCGTATTTACGATTCCAATGGAATAAATTATGACCATGGAATATTAATGTTTAAGCCTTTTTATTATATCCTTACTCTGTCCTAGACATTGAGTTCTACCTGGATTCTATCCTCTCGAAATTTTTATTAAAAAAATATACATGTATGTGTATGCACCTATGACTATATATATTGTGCATATGTATATGTATATGTAGCACTAATATTATCTATCTATCTATATATATATATATATATATATATACAAATGTAAAAGAATGAAGAGTAAAATTTCAACGTTCAAAACATTAATTTAAAACAGGGCTCAATACAAAAGTAGAGCAATAAATATTTATTTATTATGCACTGTTACATTAGAACAAAAAAAAAGTTTCTTCATGTGGGAAATCATGATGGTTTCTCACTTGAAGAAATGTTAATTTTTAATGTTGAAACAAGATGTACCATTTTGTAGTGGGTATGAACATGTTCTATGATAACAGTGTAAAATATATATATATATGTATAAAGTTTATAGGGTGTATGCACACAGTGTGTTAAAATAGCACAATGTGAGTGTAAGGAAATAATTTATAAGGAAACCTAAACTTGCATTTGTATCTAACATGCACAATGCTTTAACCAGTTAAGCTACCGAAGCTGAATATAATAAGGTTAAGACAGCACTTAAAACTATTATTTTATTGAACTCATATAAAGGCAGCCTAACCTAACTTTTATTAAGTTGGTCCTAAGCTTTCGGCACGCATAAGCTATCCTCAGAATCATTATACAGACATGAAACAAACATATCCACTGTCAAAGATGATATTTTTGTTATTTTGACATAGAAAAATAACAGATATCTTTGTTTCGTGCCTGTATAACCGCTCTGAGGTTAGTGCCTTTATAAAATCCAAAGAAGAATCAGTTATAATATTGGTACTGATATGTCTGTTCGGCTTTAGTCATTTTCCAACTGCCATAATAAAAACACACACACACACACACACACACAATGGAGTCCTGGAAAATGATTAGCCTGACCAAAAAGCCCTTACAAAAAAATTCTGATACTTGGTCATTTGCTCAGATTTTGTAAAGATGTATGCTAAGAACTTACCTATTTAGTTTTATACAAGCATGTGTGCATTCACGTATCTATTTATTTATCTATGTAGCTTTGTATGTGTGAGTGTGTGTAAAGCAACCACCTTACCAGGGGGTCCATATAGTAGTAAGCCTTTCCAAGGTGACAGAATTCCTTTGAATAATGCAGGGTACTGGAAAGAAAATGAATATGTATATATTAAATAAAAAGCAGTTTTTGCACTGTATCATTTAAGAAATTATTTTAATGAAAAGTCGTTACTTTTGCCCATTATAAGAACATACACCTATTTCAACTCTGTCTTGGGTATGACGATAAGCTACATCTGTGTCCTGTGTAAGATGATAAACTAAGTCCAGCAGCAAGGCCTCTGATCAGGAAGTTTTGAGGAGCATGGAACCACCTCTTAATTGCTGGCCCGGGGTGGTAGCATCTGTTAGGGTCCCAGCTATGAGCAAATTGTTAACCCCGAAACTGGGGTAAAAATGGGTTTTAATACCAGGGATACTTCGTAAAAAAAAAATTATTATCAGCAATAAATTTTTGAAGACAAAAATACTATTACCAGCAATTTACATTAGACAGATACCAGCAATACATTTTTGAAAAAAAAATATTACCAACAATACGTGTTTGAAAAAATATTACCAGCAATACCTTTTTGAGGAAAAAAAAATATTACCAGCATACATTTTTGAAGGAAAAAAAATATTGCCAGCAATACCTTTTTGAGGAAAAAAAATATTACCAGCAATACATTTTTGAAGGAAAAAATTATTACTAGAAATAGATTTTTGACAAAAAATATTATCAGAATAAAAAAATTGTTGGCATAAATTAACCCATTGATGTTGATATGCTGTAAAACGCAACAAACCAAACGAAACGAAACCTATTTCAACTGTGAATGTCCTTCATATGCAATGATTCAAGGTTAAAAATGAACTTTCAAGGTAAATATTATAGTATATTTATGTAATCCAACTTATACAGGGTATCCCAGAAGTCACACACCAACCTTGTTGCAGTGGAAGAATAAACAAAGGTGCGAATCCTCTCTGTTACTGGGAGATGTGTAATGATTTATAAAAAGAACATAAATAAATTGTTTTAATTAGTACACATCTTCATTTTTTTTCTGTTTCAAATTTGATTTAATTTAATCATTATATTCCAAGTGACTCATTATCTGATGGCTCTTTGGTGAATGTCACATCCAGAGACCTTTGAAACAAAAACCATTATCTGAGTTATGATTTTAAAAAATGTTACCTTCTTTTTGGCCAATGCATTTTGAATAAAATTTGTTTTACATATTGGTCTTTGTCACTTGGATCAGTGAATAAAATTACATTTATAGTGTGTGTATATATATATATATATATATATATATATATATAAACCCGAACCTTAATGATGGTTTGAATTATCTTTTAAAAACAATTAAAAAAAACCTGGAACCTGTTTATAAACAGGTTCGGGTTTTTATATTATTTGAATTGTTTGCAACGATGGATTTCCAACCAAATCATTAACCTTGTATTTGTTTTTTTGTGTGAAGAATTCATGAATTTGTAAAAGTAATGCACCTTTATTGAAATTAATATATATTTATATATATATATATATATATATATATATATATATATATATATATATATGAAGGTTTATTTAGGCAGGAATAAGTTTTGTTTATCTGTTTAACTTTTATAGGACTAACAACTTATTTAAAAATTGAAAAAATACACCAAAAATTAAACAAACTAACTTTGGCAGTTGAATTGATATATATAAGACACATATTTTCTATGAAAATTTTGCGGACATTCAGGCCAGTAAATGTCGTTAATACTGTTTATTATAAACAGAGCATATAAATATTTGTATCTATAAAGAGAATGTACAAATGTGTATGTGTGTGTGTGTGTGTGTGTGTGAACTAGTCCTAACAACCAAAATTTTTGCATTGTTATGGGTGCGTTTGACTGAGCAGAGGCTTGTGAATTAGTTGGCATTCTGCTGCTTTAGAGACCAAGGTTCACCTTCAATATTAATAACACTGGACTCTACAGAGATGACAGTATAATACTCCTGTGTAATGCAGGTGCACGAAAAACAGACTGACTTAAAAAAAGCTTGATTAAATTCTTTAAAGAGCACTATCTGAGTATCACCACCACCACTCTAATAATAAGGGAATTTTTGACAAGTATAAAAGCAAATATGTAGGAGCCCTAGAACAAAGTAATGATAAATTTGAACTATAGTTCATAGATAATAACAAAAATGTTAACAAGCCAAACCATTATAAATGCAATATCATATGGTTTAATCCACCCTTTAGCAGCATTGTCAAAACTAACAATAGAAGATTTTTCCTGGATTAAATCCATAAGCATTTCAGTCATTACCCAATGCTAAAAAAGATTTTCAATAAAAACAACATTAAAGTTAGCTATATTTGTACTAAAAACATTGAACAATATATCACAACAATGTTATAAAGCACTAAACCAACCTACAAGATAAATACAACCCCACAATTAAAGAATGCAACTGCTGAAAAAACAAAACCTGCCCACTGAATAGCATGTGCATGACTAAACGTATAATTTATAGCGCTAACATCAATCATGATGGCAAGGTTAAATTCTATTTTGGTTCAACTGAAAACCATTGGAAATCATATTTCTACCATTGCGAAATGACATTAGGCAATATTAAATATAGTAGCAACACTGCCCTCCCTAAATATTTCTGAAAAATAAAAAGCAGTAATAGAAACCAAACTATGATCTGGGATTGTGTAGCAAAAGCCAAACCCTTCAACAGAAAAGGTGATAAATGTAGTTTATGTCTTTTAGAAAAACTAATCATTCTAAAACATATAGATAACCCTAATTTGTTAAATAAAAGAAATATGTTAATTACCACATGCATACATAGAAACAAATACCTACTCAAGCATGTTGACTCAGATTAATATAGTTTTCTCATATTCAGACACCACACATACTAGTATCAATACTGTTATTATTACTATATTATTAATATTAATATTGTTAATATTTTTTATTAATATTATATTATTAATATTATACCATTATTATTATTACTATGACCTATCATTAATATTTTTATTATTATTAATATTATATATTATTATATTATTATTAATATTATTACTATCATTGTTTTTATTATTATTTTATCATCAACTAACTATTGTTTTTTAAGTGGATCACCCCAGCAAAAAAGAGTTACCTCCCTTGACACTTAACATATTTTTACCTCTAGAATTCTTAGTTTGTCGTCATTGTTAATAGAAATTAGAATTTCTAATGTTAAGTGTATGATTGAACCTAAATTTAGAATTAGATTATAGTGCAATTAAATATTTAATAACAGTAATAATTTATCGAACTAACACCACAAAATGATGAGACCTAGAAATATTAACCAGATTGTGAACAGTTGTTTTGTACCTGATGATTGCCTAGTGCATGAAACTCTGACTTGTACTGTTGGCATTGGGTATTATGTATATTTATTAATATATACTTAATAGCTTTGTTATTTTGCATTAACCACTGTTTTATTTACAGCAATGAATATATATATATATATATATATATATATATATATATATATATATATATATATATTCAGGTCCACAATATACATGGTCAGCTTATACATTGAATATATGGTAATCATTAATCTTTTTAGCATATATACTATTTTTTTTTCGCAGATAAATGGATTGTAATTTTCTAACTGTATATTACTTATAAAATATGAAAAACCAAATATTCTATCATTCTTTTAATGTTTTGGTAGCCTAGCATTAAACTATTAACAGAATTAATAAGCATTTCTTTATAAATCAAGATTTTCGGTGTTAGTTCATCCTACAGACTTTTAAATTAACTCATGACAATTAATTAAATAAGATTAATTAAATGACTGATATTGATTTCATTACATTAGTTTTTAGTGGGTAGATCAATTATTTTTACAGAATTGTATCCATCCTAAAATATTAGCTGTGTTTAGCTGTTTCAAAAAATAACAAACAATTTTTATTTCAGCTACGATAAAGAAATAAACATAGATGTGGTCTTTACGTACAAAATCAAAACTTTCAGCTTTCACAATGTTATTGTAGGTGCCTTTTGAAAGTGGCAAACTAAATACAAAAAAAAGACATTTAAGTTAAAACATAGGAGAAAATGAGGCATATTTTCTAGTAAAACAATAAATTTTCTCAATAACATTAAATGATTTAGGATGAAGTTGCAGAAGATAAAAAAAAATAAATCTGACAGTAAATGGAATGTAGAAGAGTTAGAATTGTTTTTTAAATTACTCTTCACCCAAGATAAGGCCCAAGAGCTACTTAAGGCAGAGGGTTACAGATTGAGGTTGCTTTATGATCATGAGAGGAGGTAGTAAGAAATGCAGATTACAATATGTAGGAGAGATAAAAGTTGATCCTAGACGTGAAGAGGTTAACGTCATAGCGATCAGAGAAGCATCATCTTTGGAGTCTATTCCACAAAGAAGTAGCTTTTGGAAAGAAACTGTCCAAGTGGAAATACTTCTAACCAATGGATTACAAAGGGAATAAAGTTGATTCAGCAAAATGATAGCATTTAAAAGGAATTATAACTATAAAAATATCAATTTGATGCTATAATAATATTTCAAATATATCTAGCCAGTCAAAGATTGTTTGACTTGATCGCAGTATATATATATATATATATTTTTCCACCAAAACATAAGCATCTAGAACATAACTACAGACACAACATTATTTCAACTTTAGCCTTGGGTCAGATAAAGTTCGGCTTTGTAAATATCTAGAAAATATGTTAAGAATTTTGAAGCAAGCTGTCACACTAGCCAAGAGGGAAAGAGAACTAGATGAAAAAACATTGCTCAAGGAGAGCTCATTTCTTCTTCTATGTGTTCTGTCTGTTCAAGACATGGGCAATCATGGTTCTCCACAACTTCCTATCTTTTGTAGCTCTTAGTAAGGTTTGTCTTTTCACCATCCCTCCCTCACCCTGTTTTACCATCCAAGGTTGTTAGGTAAGTAACTCACTGTTTTCACTTGCCCTCTTGCCTTCAATATATCCTGTAAGTATCAAATTCTCTAAGCCTTCTTTCCTCATTATGTGTCCTAGAAATTTCAACTTTCTTCTTTTAAGTATAAGCATATTGTTTGTTTCCATTTCCCTTAAAACTTAGTCATTACTAACATGTTCAGTCCCTTACATTCTCAGCATCCTTCTGTACAAACATATTTCTGTTTCTTGAAATGTCCACTTTATCTATGAGGAGATTGCCTAGCATTTACTGACATATAGGGAGACTAATATTGCATAATAAATTGTAATTTTTCTGTTTTTTAATAATTTGCATAAGTTTTTGAATGCATCATTTGATATTCCTATGCACCTTCTCATTTCAGTGCTGCCTTTTCTGTCTTAGATCAGATTTTTCCTTGTAGCCACTGTGGAATGTTCTGCCATTCTTGTATTGCTATCCCCAGTACATACACATCAAATAAGGACAAGATTGACTTGGCCTTCAAGCTCATCTTTTATATTAAAGCAACTACTGACCACAACAACATGCTAAGTATCATTTATATTATACGCCATGTTTATTTTTTTTTTTCTAATTAGTACCATATGAATTATTTACGTGTTTTCCTCTTATGTCAGTAGTTATTTTTTAGAAACTCAGGATACTGAAAGTTCACTTTCAAACACCCTGTTCAAGTTGAGAAATTCTGCCAGAATTTTCTGAACCTGCATTTTTTTCTGTGCCAGACTAGGCCAAAATTAGCATGTTTAAATTTAATACTTCCTTGTCCTTTCTACAGAAGATTCAACAGGTACATGGAGTACAATAGGTACTGTTGGATAGAACAAGTTTTCAGCTGAAAAATATAATTTTTTCATATAGTCACCATCACTGACAAACTGTTTTCATGGTGTTCTGCTTCTTGTGGGTTGAAGTCTGTGCTGATTCACTTGGAATGTGGCTTGTAACACATATTGCTTCTGCTATTATTGAAATGCATTATCCACCATCTACCTCTCCTTAAATTGGTTTGGTCTCTGTAAACATTCAGCTAGCATTGTTAAATATCAGTTGGTACAATTTTTGCCACAAGGATGAATTCAATACACCTCTGTTTCATATGCACTTTCATGCAAGACACTGTTTTATTTGTAACAAAGTAAAAAAAAAAAACTTTACTGCCATAATATCAAGATCCACCTCTAGTATCATGAGCTAATATTTTTTAAACATTTCATTCCAAGCAAGGCAACAAAGCCACTAACACACAGGACGATATTCAGTGTAACAATATAAGAAAAGGAAAAACATTATTAGAACAATAAAAGAAGAGGAATTAAAAAGATAATGATAATGCATTTAAATTTTTGAAGAACAACCTTGACTGTAAAGTAAGAAGCCAGAAAAGAGTTCCACAAGTGAGAAGTGTGAGAAAAGAAACTGTTATCATAGAACTTATAATTACATCTAGCAATTTCAGCTGTAAATCGATGACATCATGCTACCACTCTAGTTTTGCATTTAAATTCATAGAGTCTAGATACCATAGAGGAAAGTTTATCAGCAATTATTTATAAAAGAAAAGGCACATGAAAGTTACATTACAGTGGTGGCAAAGTAACTGAAGCTGGGATGCCAGGTCATGACCAATGACATTGCAGATTTTTCTTTGGATTTTATTAAGGATCTCAAAATATATAGCAGGAACACCCGATGATGTGTGGCAGCAATATTTGAAGCATGGGCGAATGGCAGACATAAATATGTAAGAAAGTTTCAGGTGGAAAAAACTGTTTAGCACAACCCAGTGAACCTAGAAATCAATATATTAAAATAGGAGACATTGCTTTTAGAGCAACCTACACTAATATGAAGCATATGTGATTTAAGAAGCATTTCTAATAAGATATTAAATGAAGGTACAGATATGGAGAGCTGCAAAAAATGTTTTTGCTGTTCCCAAAAGATAACAAAGACTGATGAGCAATTCTACCATACTCACTTTAATTGGATAAACCACAGCTTCTTTGACTAATCGTTTGGCTTCATCTAAACCAATAATGTCATCCCAGCTGAGGTTGGGGTTCTGTAGGTATATTTCCTGATGAAAAGAGAACAAAGTAATATAAATGAAAGAAGAACACATTTTTCTTTTAGAATCCATGATTGCAATGTGAATTGGGAGAAACACAAAATCTGTTCACTTGTAATCTCTTTAATCAGAGATATCAATAACCAGCAAGATTCAAAGAATTTTCACAATGCATCATTGCATTTCAGGAACAAACTTTCAAGCATTCAGATAAGTTGATGAAACCTTTTATTCATATAAATTAATAGCATTACCAAAATATTTTAACTAGCTTTCTAAAACCTGACACCATATCGCAACTAAATTTTGTATTTCTTGATAATAGGTTAAATCAATGATAATTGCAAGTTTTAACCTGTGAAAATTTCATGGTTTTCCTAGTTGAAATTTCTGATGAATCTTAATTCTTCACTTAATAATTTAATAAGCTCATGGAGTGTTCTATGTCAATAAAATATCAGTAGAAATTCTCCTATCACAATGTTAAATATTTGATCTTATCAACTTTAACAAAATAATGCAATAACACTCATAAATATGAATGCTGGTTGTTATTTTAAGAAGTAAGGGGGTACAAATTAAAAGATTTCAAATGACAACGTTTTCCATTTCACTGAAACAAACTTTAAACATGTCTATCTTTCATTCTTTCATCATTTTCTGACTGAAACCAAGTAAAATCTCTAATATTTCTTTTGTCTTTGCAAACAATCAAAATGGAATAGTTCATTATTCATGAGGTATTAGCAGGAGACATTAAATATTTTTTTCTTTCTTTTTTTCATTGAAACCAAGTAGAGCCTCTGGTATGTCTTTTGATGCAATCAAAATGGAATAATCCATTATTTATAAAGTATTAGCAGGGCGTAATGGTCGTGCAAACCAATGAAAGGGGGGAGGGACAAACACATTTATTATATGATAATAAATTGTTGCTGTTGTAGGTCAACCGCAGTTAAGATTATTGAGTTATTACAGACTCCATGATAATATTGATGGGTGAATAGTATTTGCTATGACAGTGGTAAATATGGTTTTGAATTCAGAGCTATCCTTCTCCTAGAGTGGTTGCCAACCGTGGCAGAGAGCCCAGTCAACATTGCCCCTAACTGGGGGAGGAGATGGATTCATGCTTTTTCCAAGGGTATTTGCATGAAAATGAATGTAAGAAACACAATTGGATTCTGAACTTGGCTCACCAATTTCCCTTTTTGAGCTCCTATCCCATACACCACCTGTATATCAACAGCAAAAAAAAATTCACAAATTTTGTAAGAAAACGTTTTATTCCTATAAATTCCTCGCATTGTTATTTAATCCTTAACGTGTTTTCCTTGGTTTTAAATGACATCAGACATCCTTTCATCTGAATCATATATTCTATGGTGAACATATACCCAAGTCCCTCAGATAGTTTTTCATTGAGACGTTTCCTTGTTCTCTATGCTGTGGTTCAATTACCATCTGTATTGATGCTTAAAAAAAACTTGTAAAGGTCAGGCATATACTCAACAAAGAGACTACAGGTGATATATCACATGGAAAGAAAAATCTTGAGTATGGGTATCTCAAGATATCAATTTGGTGAGAAAGACTAGAAAACTTATGGTTCCAATAAACAGGATTTTCTTTATTTATGGATTCATTTGTGATTGGCTGGAAATAGGTAAGTGCCATTGGGGACATCTTCACGATGACTTCTGTCTTGTCTCCTGATAGACAAATGGACACTGATTTTCTGTTATGGTGAAACACACCTATTCTATAGTTAATAGACTCTCCCACCTAAAATAAGTCGGAGTAGTAAGAGAAACGAGGGTCAGTTGATGTCGGATGACAGTAGTCGACAGTTAGTCGAATACAAAAGTAGTCAGCGACCACAACAAGATTACTCTGCGTAATAACTATTATATCAAGTTCCTAACGTTTTGTACGTCGAAACTATTTTAGGACCGATTTAGTACAAATACAAGCCTCCACTGCGAAATAAGTCCAGAACATTTTCCCTTCTGTTAATGAGAACTTCATCTCCATCTGGTTCTAAATCTCTTCTTACTCATTCTCATGACTTTCACTGTGACTACCCTTAACTAGACTAATTGATTTTTTATGATTTATCAACCCTTTTTTCAGTTTATTTAAACCTAAGAAATATTTTTAGAAATATTTAGAATATTTTTTGACATAATAATAATTTACTGATTAACCCATAGCTGGGGGTGAGGAAGAAGTGGATTTATATCTTCCCCAAGAGTATTTGCACATAAGTGAATATAATGAACCTGACTTGAATTAGAACTCTGCTATCTGATTTCCAATTCTGAGCTGTTATCCATTACTCTACCTGTGCATCCAAGCTTATATCACCTAATATTCCCAAGCTAGAATCTGGCCTGGCTATATAAGCCAATAACTGGAATTCCCTATTTTCCTGTTGAGTGTCACTTGATCATGAAAATTTTTATATATTTATTTGCATATTTTATTTCCTTTTCCCTACTTATGGCCAGCTGTTGGTTTATTCGAAGCCCTCACAGCTAGATTTTACTGGTAATGCATTTGATAGTCATAAAAACACTGATACCTCAAGGTGCAGATAAAATTATTTGCTGTTCATTTGACTCTATTGTTATCCAACTGAGTGGATATCCATTATGTCATAACAGCATTTGTTTGATTGATTCATTCATTTTCTATGGATTATCAACCCTTTTCAGGTTATTTAAAGCCAGAAAATATTTTAGATTTTAAGAATTTTTTTTTTTTAGATAATAATCATTTAGTGATACAAGCCTTACTAATTAACCCATAGCTAGGCAGGAGAAGAGGGTAATTGTGTATGAGTATAATGATCCCAACTAGAATTGTAACTTGGCTCTCTGATTATCAATTCCAAGCCATTACCATTACACCACCTGTACATCCAAGCTTATAGCAATTGGTATTCCCAAGGGGTCACCCATCTAGGTACTGATCAGGTTCAATGTTGCTTAACTTCAGCAATCATATGAGAACTGGTGTTTCAATAAGATATGGCCATAAACCAGGGGTTATTAGAGATAGTAACCATCATTTAAGGTTGATGTAAAAGTTTCTAAGCTTCTTGACAAATCGTTTATTTCTCTAAATTCATAGCATTATTATTCAGTCATTAAAATATTTTCCTTCCCTTCCCATGACCTTATGCCATGTTTTATCGAAATTTTATAATCTGTCATAAAATAAAGTTTCTGGTTTTCATTGAATATGAAGGAATTTTTCAATATCTTCAACTTAATATAACTTCTGACATGTGCATGTAGTAAAACAACTTCTATTTTATTAAAGCAATAAAAACAGTCATGTTAAAAGAAGAAGAAAATTTAATAACCAAAAAGGTGGGGTATAAAAAAAATAGTTACCATAGCATGTTAATATCAAAATCCCAGGTTAACAGACCTTTCTCATCAGACCTAGATCAAGGATTAGAATTAGCAGAATGACTAAAAATGAACACACATGACTAAATGTTATATATAGTAAAGGCTAATTGCCTTTAAGCTCAACAAACATTCCCTCAGCATACAGAGAAATGGCTGGCTGGACTTAATGTAAATAGATTCCAGAATAATCTTTTTTTACTGAAAATATTTCTTGGCTATAAGACTGGGCACATAAGAGTGGTAGGTGGGCAGAAAGGTAATTAGCCAGTAATTGCTATAATTTCTTTCATATAAAATTTGTCTTGTCTTTTGATTTTTAGTTGTGTACATTCTAATCCTCGGTCTTAGTTCAGATGAGAGAGGATATATACCAAAATAAAAATGTTGTTTTAATATATAAACAGTACACATACTCAAATACAAGTATCCCTTAATAATATTATTTAAAGTGATACAAATCTGTCACATTAATAAAACTCCATTCTAATAAAATCTTCATGTATCTTGCAGCAGGAAAATTATCAAAGCTGGAAAACTGTTACTGCAGGATGCTACAGTGAACAATTGGCAGATTTGAAGGATGCAAAATTGATTGTTTATCCTCTATTTCTATACATTCACTCTCTCTACTCTACTACTATACAGATTATCATTCTCTTCTGATTATTATACTATTTGGCGATTACTACTTGGATAAGTATTACTAGTACGGATATTTTTGGAAGGCATTTCGGTGGTCAGTTTTTATCCAGGATTCAGTTAACCATCTACAAGTGAATCTACAACAAAAGAGGTATCAGCACACAAATAAAATTGGGACATGTTACGGCTAACCATAAAATAAAATAAAAAGCATATAATTGAATCAAAGTTATGTTGCTTAGCAGATTTTCTAATCTCCATGATTATAGAGTTCATCTCAGGCTTTGTGAGGACCTTCCTGAAAAAATGGTGACTTCGCCCATAACAGTCCTATTTGAAGGTAAATAAACATGGCAAATATAACAGCAATCATTTAAACTTGAATATTTGTGATTTAATCTTTATCTGTTCATGGGCTTAAATTTGTTTCCTAAATAATGTGTAATGTGTGTCCATATTATTGTCTCATATATGCACACAGTTCAGCTGTCTTTTTTGTTAATAGTGTTAAATTTCTGTTGTATAAGAGTATGTGTCATTGCCGACACTGTAGTTTGAAACTAGATTGCCAGTGAGCAACATTGGTGATTCCATTATTAAGTAGATCACGTGATCAGAAAGGAAGTGAGTAAATACAAAGTAGCATGTTGACTAACTAATCACTATTTCTCTTCTATCACTAGATGGAACTCTGGTCACTCTCCTTGTCTATCCTCTATTGCTATACATTCACTCTCTCTACTCTACTACTGTACAAATTATCATTCTCTTCTGATCATCATACTATTTGGCGATTACAATGTGAAGAAGTATTACTAGTGCGGATATTTTTGGAGGGCATTACTACTAGTACCAGTGTCTACAAAGTCTTGAATATAATATAAGCAATAATGAGCTTTCGCTTGACATAGCAAAAGTGACAAGTGAAGCTGTCCAACATCGCAAAAATTTCAATACTACCACATAGTAATATATTTGTTACCGCCAACTTTTGGTTACATATCTTCTTTTAACATGTTTGTTTTTATCACTTTAGAAAAATTTTTAACCTTTTAAAAATATATCCTTAAAGAGATGGGCTTGGAGTATATAATGCATGTGGAAGAATTTACCATCCTGGCCCCATGTGTGTTTGATGGGTTGCATCCTTCAAATCTGCCAATTGCTCACTGTAGCATCCTGCAGTAACAGTTTTTCCAGTTTTGATAATTTATAATCAACAACTTGCTTTGGATATCAGAATAAAATATGACAGAGAGCAACTGTCATACCCCATTAAATTTAAATTGAGACATAAAAAAGCTGTCTTTGATGCAGCAATTTCTTTTTTTTCTTTTTTGGTATCTACTTTGCATACTCATGTGAACCCAAACTCCTCAATTTTTTTTCCTAATGGTTGCAATTACAGGTGATTGATTGCAGAAACAACAAAGAACTAAATAATCTTCGCTTTTTCACATTGTAAAAAGATTGTATACTTGGAACGTGTTCATCCACCTAACAAGATTAGACAACAAAGGTTTTGATGAAAAGTAAAGAAGGTTGAAAATAGATTTCAAAGTGATGTATAAAAAGTACAGTGTGTAATGAGCCAAGGAACTTACCCGACTGATTAGTTGTGCCAAATCTCGCCATTCATTGTTGTATGCAAGGTAACCACCAAGTGGCTTTAGGAGACGATCCTGCTGCAAGGTACATGAAGATTTTATTAGAATAGAGTTTTATTAATGTGACAGATTTGTATCACTTTAAATGATATTATTAGTGGATACTTGTGTTTGAGCATGTGTACTGTTTATATATTAAAACAATATGTTTATTTTATATTCTTCTACCAGCCTGAGAGATGAATAGGCCAATAGGTGAATATAAAATAGGCATATTGCTTAAAAGAAACACCTACTCAAATATGAGTATCAACTAAAAATAATATTTAAAGTAATACATAAAGATACAAAAGAGAATTTTGGTAAGGAAAGGACTTATCATAAACAGTTTCTTTTTTAATTTACTGGTAGTTCATCCAATACAAGGACCATCAATCAGAAAAAAAAACAAATTACTACCAGTTCAACTACCATTGTAGTGCAGTAAAACACATTTATACCAAGTCCACAGGTCTTAAACAGCACTGACAAGTGGATACAAGGACTCATTGTGGGTCATATTGAAAATGTAGATGTGCAATCTTCCATTTGGGCCGCAAATGCAAAACAATTACAAGTCTCTTAATTCAGCTCTTCCATTGCACATTCTGTTAGAAACTTTTGATTTGTTTCAACAGAATTCACAAGCTACAAAAAACAGGGAAAATAGAGTTCAAGAAATGAGCACTAGGTGGTCAGTTTTTATCCAAGATTCAGTTAACCATCTACAAGTGAATCTACAACAAAAGAGGTATCAGCACAGAAGTAAAATTGGAACATGTTGGGGTTAACCATAAAATAAAATAAAAAGCATATAATTAAATCGAAGTTATGTCACTTAGCAGATTTTCTAATCTTAATGATTATAGAGTTCATCTCAGGCTTTGCGAGGACCTACCTGAAAAAATGGTGACTTCGCCCGTAACAGTCCTATTTGAAGGTAAATAAACATGGCAAATATAACAGCAATCATTTAAACTTCAATATTTGTGATTTAATCTTTATCTGTTCATGGGCTTAAATTTGTTTCCTAAATAATGTGTAATGTGTGTCCATATTATTGTCTCATATATGTACACATCTGATTAAATGTTGTCAGCACCTGCTCACATCTGAGCATCATGATCATCGTCCTTTCTCCCTATTCCCTTTCATTTCCCTGGCAGTGTTGGTAGAGATGACTGTGAATAATAATAAGTTAAAATGGTACATTTGATAACAAACTGTTCACTCTGACATCTAGTGTAAAATATATGGTTGTTTTTTGTCATGATAAAAGGCTTACTTGTCCCAGTGTTCCCAAGAGAGAAGCTGTCTTTAGTTCCAACTCCTATAGAGTCACCCACACTGGTAAGGTCAAAGAGGAAGGAACAGACTGAATGTGATCAACCCCCAAAGACACCAACCCTGGAATAGGCAAAGAACTACACAATCTCAATGGTCAAACCAGTAGAAAAAGACAACACCAGTCAGGCTGACATAAGCAAGGCAGACCTTGACAGACAAAGAATCCAACTGCCTGATGCAACCAGGTTTATAAGATCTTGCTTGTCTCAATCCACTTTGAGCCATGAAGGAGGCACTTCTGGTCAAGTGTGTGAGCTTCTCTGTCATACAGAGTTGCCCACCAAAATCAAATACACTCAAATGGTCTGATTAAATAATGCTTGGAGAAAATAGAAAATTCTTGCCTAATGTAATTATGACAATATCCAATCAAAAGAACATGTGGACATTATTAATGAAGCTTTGTTTGATTGAAAATCATGAGAGGAATAACAGCATTTGGAAATACTAAAATTCTGCAAAGATTTTATGTAAAATTTGTTCTAGCAATTTCTACAATTTCTTGGATGAGGAATTATCATTATTTACATTATTTAAAGTTGAACTAATATCCACATCTTTTTAGATCTGATTCAAACATTTTGGCCATTGTACTCACCAGATTTCTTAAGGTTTCTTCCAATCTGAGTAACCTTCAAGCAGTCTTAAACTGAATCTGTTATTGAATCTACAGAGGATATATTGCTCTCATTCTGCTCTCCATACTCAGAGGTATATAATTTTGGTACTGCCAAGTTATTGCTAACCTTTGTTTCATTGAGTTTCTTTGGCCCAGTGATTGAATTCACAGTTACTATGTCACCAAATTCAGGAACCTTACTTTATTCTGCTTGGCTACTGTCTTGTAGGACAATCCTGAATCTAGAACTTGGAGAATTTTTTTAATGTTATTTATTGCCTGCCTGCTGCTGAAGAAAGCCAGAGAATACAGTGGCCAAAACATTGTCATAATAAAAACTAAATGAGGGCATTAGTCTGAGTGTAAATAATGTAAATATTTTTTTTAGCAAGTTTAGCAAATTTTTGAATTTGAGGATTTTTTCTTCTATGTGCAGTGTCACTTCAGGACATAGGCGATCATGTTTCTCAACAACTTCCTATCCTTTGTTGCGCTTAGTAATGTTTGTCTTTTTACCATGACTTCCACTCCCCATTTTATTATTATTATTATTATTATTATTATTATTATTATTATAATAATAATAATAATAATAATCATCATAATAATAATCATCATCATCATCATCATCATCATCATCATCATCATCCGCCTCCTGCTCCTCCTCCTCCTCCTCCTTTGACCTCCCTACTGTTGGTTAGAACTGTTTAGTCCTGCATTGCTGTCCCCAGATCTGCAATGTCCAACACTGAGTCCCTAGCTATAGTGTCTGGGAAAGTCATTTCTTTGTGAGAAGACACTTCCAGAAGGATGCTATAGTTGTAAGGATGAGATAATTTTCTTGTCTCCTCAATGGCAGTGGATGGCAAGCTGTAATTGTTTTCGGGTTAGCTTAAGAGAGATTGGTTCTCAGTTCTATTTTGCAATATCTTATCATGTATGTGGCACACTGCCTCCTCTAGTTACTTTTGTTTTTGATATATCCTATGAGTGTCAAATTTTCCAAAAACTTCCTTCTTCAAGATGTGATCCAGAAATTTCAGTTGTTCCTTTCGTAATGTGACTAGAAATGTCATTTTTGTTTCCATTTTCCTAAAGACTTGCATGCTCCATCCGTGGCATTCACAGCATCCTTCTGTAGAAACATATTTCTGTTGCCTCCTGCCTTCATTTGAGAGGAAACCATCTGGCATTCTATGCCATATAGGAAGAATGATATTATATAGCAATTCAGCACTTTTCTTTATTTCTAATGAATTTTTTCTGTTTCCATTACTCTACTTAGTTTTTGGAAGGCATCTTTTGCTATTTCAATGCACATTTGGATTTTGGTGTCATATTTTCCCTGCCCTGTAATTGTGAGGGTTGGAAAAAATAAAAGGGATTATCACTGATTAGAAATTAATACAAGCATTATTGATTAACAGGAAAGTGTTGCCACATACATGGTGATTGAAAAGTAACTCCCTATTTTATGTATGATGGACACTCACGTCTTGTAAGAATTATAGTTAGATGGCAGAGTCCATGATACATAAGATAGAGGGTTACTTTTCAATCAACCTGTATATAAATGTTCAGAATTCCAAATTAAATATTTGTATCCTGAAAAATTATTGTTATTCTAAAAAAATGTAATTTTACAATCCAGAATGTATTTCAGCTTTAAATAAATCTCAAAGGGTTGATAACTCTTAAAGAATATCCTCATTACATGTCCAAGATATTCTAGCTGTCTCTTTTTAATTCAGAGGATAACTGTTATTTTTGTTTCAATTTTTCATAAGACTTCTTCATTGTCTATGTGCTCTGCCCATGTTATTCTCAGTATCCTCCTGTAGAGTCACATATCTGTTGCCTCCAGTCTTTTCTTCATCTGTGAAATGATCTATCATTCACTGCCAAATAGGGGAATTGATATTGTATAGCAGTTCAGCCCTTTTCTTTATTTCTAATGAATTTTCTCTGTTTCTATTACTCTACTTAGTTTTTGGAAGGCATCTTTTGTTATTTCAGTGTACCTTTAGATTTTGGTGTCATATTTTCCATCCTCTGTAATTGTGAGGGTTGGAAAAAATAAAAGAGATTATCATTTATTAGGAATTAATACAACTGACTGAAAGAAAAGCATTATCATATGCATAAATGTTAAGAATTTCAAATAAATTTCATTGTTTTGAATTTTCAAAATTTAATTCAATAACTTGCTAAAGATTTGCTAAAAAGCAAGAGAAATTAGTCAAAACCTGAAATTACACAATGTTGAGTAGTGAAAGTACTTCAAATTAGATTCTTAAAAAAAAAGAAAAACTCTTGATGTTTTAAAAATATTTCCTCCAAAGAAATAACGTGATTTTTAATCATGCACAAGTACTTGCCTTTAGCAACTTCAAAGTCAGCCAATCAGAAAACAGAATCGCAGATTTAAACATAGTCTTGAGCGTGCCATGAAATCCAACTTGCCAATTGTGTCTTGTACTGATAAAAAGCTTCCAGGAGGAAAACAGACAGTCTCAAACAAAATTCACCTTAAAAACCTGATTGTCTGGAATCAATTCAAAACATGTTTACTTGTTAGATAAAGCGTAAATGCAGGTGTTTATATGCAACGTTAATTAATTGTCATCTGTAATTGAAAGTTGTAAAGATAATGCAGTAGGTGTGTGGTAGTGTAATGGATAGCAGCTCAGAATGAGAAAACAGAGATATGAGTTCAAATTGCAGCTGAGTTCATTTCATTCATTTACATGCAAATACCCTTGGGAAAGTTATTAATCTATTTCATCTGCCTCCCAGCGATGGGTAAATCACAGGACAGAATGGGTCCTATAGTCTGAGTTGGCAACTGGCCAAGGAGATGGATGGCTCCATCAGGCTATCTTGCCCAAGACACACCACTGTGGCCATGGCTGCAGTACATACCATGACCCTATGACTTTAATGGGTTATGGGACTCAAGATTGTGATCATGAATGATAAGCATTTTTCACTAATTTCAACCGTCTATAATTTGCAATTTATTGATGATACATACTGGCTTTGAGGCAAGTTTGTCAATTATTCACTTGTTAAAACTTCCATTATATTTCAGGCAAGTAATAACTAAGGAGTAATAAATAAAAATAAGAACTAGATGATACCCCTAGACATGAGCAGTGGAATGGCAACAGTCTACCCCCAGAGATTAAATAAATTTTTCACTTTAGAATTCCTTGGAGGTTAACATGTTTGATGTACACCTGAAGAAGGCTGGACAACACAATGGCAAAAGGGTTGTGGGAAGAACAACAACAAGATGATTCTGAATATAAATAAATAAATAATATTTCCTCATCCCAGAAATTTAGACAAAAATTTAGATATGTTAATTTTTTGAAAATATATGCAAATACTGAAAGAAATACTCGTTCATTATGGAAGCTCCTTAGTATTTTTTTTTACTCAACAAAATAAATAAAATGATTGATTTGTTTTTTATGACTTATCAACCTCTTGCAGGTTAATTAAAGCCAAGAAATATTTTTGGATTGTAAGAATTTTTGGCGATAATGATTTACTGGGGGATGAAAAGAGTTGAATTCAAACTTTTCCCAAGAATATTTGTGCGTAAATGAATATAACAAACCTGACTGGAAATGAAACTTGGCTTTTCACTTTCCAATTCAAAAACATTATCCAAGCTTACAGTACTCCCAAATGGTCACTCAAATAGGTACTGACCAGGCTTGACATTGCTTAAATTTATCGATCAGATGAGAACTGGTGCTTCACTGTGTGAGCCCTCTACAAAATTTGCTAGATTCTATACACCTGAAAAAGATTCTAAAAATATTTTTAAGGCAGTTTTTCTGATCAGCTTTCCACTTTGGTACAGCAACTTCATGAATTTAATCATAGTACTAGATTGGCAGTTAGGTCTCATCATTTTACTGTCGAAATTGAAAAAGGTAACCATAAGTTCTATGCTAATAGTTTCTTCTCTTGCAGGTCTCAGCTGTGGAACTCTCTTCTGGCTTCTTGCTTTCCTGTCAACTAAAATCTTTAAAAAAAGCAATATCAATCATCATCTTCTATCTCTTTGAATTCTGTTCTTTTTATTGCTTTTTCTCCTGCGTATTGTTATCTCAGTTGCCTTCACTCCATTATCTTTCTTCCACAGTAGCTCCTTATTTTAGTGGCTTTATTGCCTTACTTGGGGGTGAAGTGATTTTAAAAAAAATATATTGACAAACACACCTGAAATAATGTAGTACAAACAACAACAATAAGGATGCCTGTGGGGAAAATGTGTAGAATAAGTAAATCTCCAGTCAACTTCATTCATCTTACACCATCAAGTACACACCTTATGGCTAGGCTGTGTAGAATAATATCAAACACAATACTGGCCACTTGCTCAGTTTTAATGGCAACTGTTTTTAGAAGAAAGGAAGAACCTACCTGATGCTGTTCCGAACCTTCTTCTAGATTCATCCGTGTAGAATCATTCAGCATAGAACGAATGTCAATGACCTGACCAAACTGAAAAACAAAATCAAAAAAAGATGAATGAAAAGCAGCAATCTGAGAGAGCAGATGATAAGCAATAAAAATAATTAAATATTGAAAGAATATATAAATTGTGAAAAAGAATGTTTTTTCACAGACCATTTCCTGGTCATGAGAAAGCAGTGCAATATCTACTAAAAGCATTAGGTCATTGATAACTAATTCACAGGAGGGGGCTGACAGAACTAACTTCATACTTTTGCTGAACCTTAGCCTGAAAGAGACATAAATCTTTTTAATACTTTGAGTACTGGCCTAATTGTTTATTGATTGATTAGTTTTTTTAATGAACTATCAACCTCTTACAGGTTATTTAAAGCCAGAATATATTTTTAAATTGTAATAATTTTGGGGAGATAATAAAGATTTATTAATACAATTATATTAATTAACCTCTAGCTTTAGAAGGGGAAGAAGAAGTGAATTCATACCTTTCCCAAGGGCATTTATATGTAAGTAAATATAACAAAACTGACTGGTATTGGAACATAGCTCTTTGATTTCTAATTCCAAACTTATAGCACTTGGTATTCCGAAGTGGTTACCCATTTAGATACTGACCAGGTTTGCCATTGCTTAACTTAAATAATTGTACGAGAACTGTTGTTTCAATGTGATATGGCTGTAATCTGCCTAGTTGAAAATTATAATTGAATGATATATTTGTGATAAATGAAATATCTTGAGCACTATCAATAATTGATTATCGCAAGACCTATTTATTTAAATGTAAATTAAATTTCTTTTGCAATTGTACCAAAATAATACTTACTGATAAGGAGTTAGGACAGTGGAAATCAGAAAATTTTGTCTGGTGGTCTTCAAATGCAGGTAATTTTAGTACCAACAGAAAATGAATTTAATTAGACTTCTAGTTGTGAGAAAACACTCCACTGAAAATCTGATAGAACAGAAAATATATAAGGAAATTCTTTTATATACTATTCCTCACCTAATATAAGGCCCAAGAGCCACACAAGGTAGAGGGTTACTGAATGAGTTTCTTGTGAGGACATATAGGATAGATATTGGTTGACCCTAGACTTGAAGAGGTTAAGATTGTATGAATCAGGGATGCATCTTCTTAGGAGTCTGTTGCAAAAATAGCAATTCTAGAGAAAATGCTCTCTGAGTGTAACTGCCTCCTTACAAATGGAATATGAAGGGAATGACAATGAGTTGATCCTGTGTATGTGGCATGGTGGATTCTATATGTGAAGGTCAAAACTGCTGGAAGTTTTATTTATGAAACTAGTAACAGAGTAGCAAGAGGCTGGTAACATTTGGTTTCATTGGTGGGAAGGGGGATTGTAAATTGGAAAATACTTCATCACTCACAAGGCTGCATCTAAGCTTTTGAACTCTGTCAAAGCTGGAAAAATAAGTACTTGTCAGTTTCAGCCCAGATGGCATATTTCCCACTATAAAATAAATTTGACCAGGTTCAAAACATTTCCTACCATTGTACCATTGTGTTTATTGTTATGCTTTTTGCCGGGTGCTTTGAGTTGGTCATATGAAGGTATTTAAGCTTTGTCTGTAATAGGCAGTGGTAAATTTTTTGTACCCTTGTGTAAGCATCTGTCTTAAAAATGAGGAAAAGTTAAGTTTTTTTTCCTTGGAGAAAAGATTTTTTTTCTATAATTAAAACAAAAAGTGAAGTCTTGGTAAAATATGAACACTTGACTGTAGAAAAAAAAAATTAAAAGAGAATATATATTTCTTCACCAGAGAAAAAATATAATGATGAGCATTTCCTGTTTCTAAAGCATAAGATATTTACACATATGATCCCGCTTAATGAAAACAATTTTTTTAAATAATTTCACCCATGCAAGGCAATAAATCCAGTAAAACGCAATGAGTTACAGAGTATGATAGAATATGAGAAAAAGAATATTGATAAGGAGAGAGAAGATTAAAACAATAAGAATTAAGAAGACAGAAAATAATGATTGACATTGCATTTAAATTCTTGAATATCAAAGTTGACTAGGAAGCAAGATATTGGAAAAGAGTTCCACAAGTGAGAAGTGCAAGAAAAGAAACTGTTAGCATAGAATTTGCAGTTACATCTAGCCATTTAAACTGTATACAAACAGGACCTTGCTGCCAATCTAGAACTGCACTAAAATTCCTAAAGTCTTGGTACCATAGAGAAAAGTTTACCAGAACAATTACCATGAAAGTTTTTTTATATAAAAGGCACAGAGAAGTTACATAATAGTGGTGGGAAAGTGACTGAAGACCAATAGCATTGCAGATTCTTCTTTTGATGCTATCAAGAAACTATAAATATATAGCAGGAGTGCCAGACCAGATGTCGTAGCAGTATTTAAAGCAAGGGAAAATGGCAGACTTATATATATATATATATATATATATATATATATATATATATATATAAGATAGATTCTGGTCATTTTAACAAGGGGCCTATTGTGTCATACTTTGGTAAATGAGGGAGAAAAGAAAAAAGGTGGGGGCAGAGAAGAATAGAGGAATGGGAAGAAAAAGACAAAGAAGAAGACAGAAAGATTAGAGAGTGAAGGAGTGAAAGGGAAAGATGACAAAAGAAAAAGTAAAGTATGTAAGCATGAAGGGAGAAAGAAAGAAAGAAAGAAAGAAAGAAAGAAAGAAAGAAAGAGTAACAAAGCAAAAAGAAAAGCATGGGAAGAGGAAAAGCTGAAGAAGAAAGTAAAAAGAGGATATAAAAAGGAAAAAGAGAAAAGGTGAGAAATGAGAAGAGAAGGAAAAATGTGGAGCAAAAAATAAAAAAGGGGAGAAGGTGTTGTGAAAGAATAAGAAGAACTTAGGAAAAAAAGGAGAGTAAGGAAAAATGATAAAAAAGAGGAGAAATGGAAAGAGGAGCAGAGTAGAAGGAAAGAAGAGGAGGGAGAGAGGGGAAAATAAATAAGAAAGTGAAGAAAAGATAAAGAAAATAGAGGAAGGAAAAGAGAAAAGAAAAGCTGAGAAAATGAAGGAGGTGTGGGAGCAGTAGGAGAAGAGGAGGAAGAAAGTGATGATATCAAATCGGTAATCGTGAGCAAATAGCAAAAATGAATAGCAAAATAAATTTAAAGGAAAATAGGCTACAAAAACAAAAACAACAGAAAGAAAAACAAAAATTGAGAAGTAATTAAACTTAACTGTCCTCCTAAAGGCAATTTCTGTTTCTTAATGTTGGAAGCAGGTTCTCCATTACTTCCTTCTCGGAGAAGAGATGTTGCTTGCAAACAAAGATTCTCAGTTGACTGTGAGTTTGAAGAGGAATTGGAATTGGTATTTGACTTTAAAGCAAAAAGACAAAAATGAGTTCCAGTTCAAAGATCCCTGCTCTATAAATTTCAAGTATTAAGCTCTCTTTTGACAGAGACAGGGTTATGTTGAAGAAGGCTATCAATATGATGACCAGATTATTTGAGCAATGTGGAAGATGTAAGGAAAATAAGGATAAAGAAAAAAAAAGACATATTTAAAAACAGAAGAACACAGTTGAAATTTCTGGGACACGCAGTGAAGAAGGAGGGCTTGGAGAATTTAACACTCATAGAGGATACTCACATGGGCAGAAGGAAATAGAACGTAACCATCCTAATGAAGTTGTGTAAATGGGTGGCAGAATAGGGACAAGGAAGTAGAGTACAGGAAGAAAACATTGCTTAGCGCTACACAGAATAGGGAGACACATTAAAGAAGATTTGTTTCCCACATTTGAGAAATATTCATTTTTAAAATCAGAAAAAGAGCATTGAAATTTCTGTAAGATATAGAGAGGAAGGAAGGTGTGGAGTACTTAACACTCACAGCTCATATTTAAGGAAAGAGGACTGAAGGAAACAGCAAAATACTTGTCTAATAAATGCGTACATCAGGGTTTCCCAACGTTTTTTGCATCCTCAACCGCCTTCAAATAGAAAAACTTTCCAATACCCACTTGTATTGTAAATATTCAAAAGCATAGTGTTATTGTTCAGTAAAAGATTATTACTTTTTTTTTTTTTAGTGAGTTCACCCCCCCACCCCCAAAGCATGTCAGTAAAGCCACTGAGACGCAGGGGGTTACTGGGTGGTGAGGAGTTAGAAACTGGAATATTACGAAGAAGCAATAACAGAGAAAGAATAATCAGGAGGACAGTAGATGACGATTGACAAAGCATTTAAATTTTTGCAGATTAATGTTGGCTTCTTTCTTTCCAACCAACTTTGATCTTCAAAAATTTAAAATGTAAATCATTAACTTACTGCCTTCTTGATTCCTCTTTTACTGTTCTTGTGCCTTAATAATGTTTTCTTTTTCTTATTCTTTCACACTTAGTATCCACTTGTGTCTTAGTGACTTTATTTCCTTGCTTGCAGTGAAATGATTAAAAAAAAATGTATATAATTGTGTCATTTTTCTTTTTTGATATTTGCATATTATTTTGATTTTAATCATTTCTTATTATATATATATATATAAAAGTTGAATCAGCCCATTTCCCAGTGACCAAACAGAATTTTAAAAAAAATTCTTTTGGGTTAGGATGAGAACTTTAAGCATCTCCTTGTATTTCATTATGGGATCATCTGAAGACATTCTATTATTTACAGTTGGACTAATGTCCTTATCTTTGTTGTTAATTTCATGTTTCGGCAGTTTCACCTTTCTGGGTTTCTTCATGTGGCTGTCAATCCATGTAATCTTCGGAGAATTTTGAACTTAACCCTTTATTCCATCTACAGGAGTAGATATTTCTTAGTCCCTGGAGCAGGTGCTATAGACTCAGCCTCTGTGGAAATAGGACTAACAATAACTGAGCAGTACTAAAGAAAAGAACAAGACAAAACAACCTGAGAGATGGACAGTTAATTTGTGCTTGTGATGTCTTTTTTGATTTTCCTACTGAAAGTCAGAAAGATGTAAAATTGTGACTGTAACAACCAAGATGAAGATACTCATCTGAACAAATTTTTATATATATATTTATACATATTAATCCCACTGAGAAGTGAAAGAGAAGAAGGAAAAGGAATAGGGAGAGAGTTTAAAAAGACAAGAAAATGATGAAAAAGCAAAATATATACATGCACACACCAGAAAGAGAATAAACTCAATCTAACACCAATAATAAGGAATCATAAATAGTGCATGAATTAATTACATGAAATATAGTACAAAGATATGAAAAATGAGAAAAAACAGCCATTGATGAAATCTCCTGAAGAGTGGATTGAACAATTACAGAAAAATCAGTTTATGTCTCTGGAGTTAAGGGGCTGGATATAACATCAATCACTAAGTGACAAATTTTATTTGTATTAACCCTATATATATATATATATATAGATATATAAATAAAAAGAAAGAACAGTATGATATATAATCCGGTGTTCTTATAGATATTTTTATTTTTACAAAATAGTGCTCAATGTAAATTTACAGAGCATTAATATTATAAATTAATTGATTTAAAATATGGTTTTTTCGCTACACAGTTCTAACCATGTTTCAAAATGGAATCAAATTTAATTTTGTAATTTAATTAAAGACATTAGTTCCATTTCATCCTCAAGCAAATTTTGGAGTAACTTATTTTTAAAATTACTGGGTTTTAAAGTCACCGCAAAAATTCATAATTCACATTTCCAAGGATACAGAGAAATCCATTCCTCCAGACGAGGGGTGGTTGCGTGTTCATTATCGTATTTTGTTGTATCAGTTATTAGTTATGTTTTGGTAGGGGTAAGGATGTATTTTTAATGAATTCTGACATATATATATATATATATATATATATATGTATAATATAAAAGGCTCAAAAACTAATATTCCATGGTTATAATTTATTACATTGGAATCGTAATCACGATCCAATTCATCAGACCTACAAATTCAAAAAGAAATTGGAAAATATAACTCTGGGTATAAAAAACAAAATTTTAGTGAGAGTGTATGTATAGGAGTGGGAAACAAGGGTGAGAGGGAAATGCATGAAAGCTCTAGAGAGAGGGTGTAAAAGAAGAAAGAAGAACAGGAAAAGCCTCAAGGTGAAGGTGGGGATGAAAATTTAACAAAGAGAAGTTTTAAAGAGAGGAGTTAAATAACGGTTTAAATGAGTGAGATACAGATAAATATGAATTATTTTCAGATGCATAAATCGCAACCGATTCGCTGACCTAAAATTAAAATAAAAAAACTGACACTGGAAATGTGTGGGTGGTGACATTACATGCAATAAAAAACGAAATGATCTAAACTTAAAATCCAGCCAATTCATATATATATATATATATATATATATATATGATAGGAAAATGAACAAACAGGAAACAGATCTTAATTTAACATCTTTCACTTTATTAAAGGTTCATCAGAGATCTCTTGATACACAAATGATAAAAAGCAAAGAGATGTAGATTAATGGTATGTTGTGTTTGGCTATTTCTTATTGGTTAGATATGTGTCATGTGTAATAAAGTAAGAGATAATATTTAAATATGTGTGCCAAAACTTCTCTATGCTAAATTGTGTAAAAGTTAGTAAGATGCAGTCAGATGGTTGGTTTGATTGAATGTTTTGATTGGATTCTATCTTGATCACTAACAAAACTTTAATAAAGGCAAATATGTTAGATAAAGACCTGTTTCCCACTTGTTCTTTATCATATTATCTTGTCATATTCCAATCCATACTCTCTCTCTCTCTCTCTCTCTCTCTCTCTCTATATATATATATATATATATATATATATATATATATATATATATATAACCTATCCCATCTAAATAATCTTGAAATAGTCACAAACACTTCCAAAACCATTATAGATATACTAAGATCTTCAAACAATAATAGCACTAATATTTCTGAAGCAGGCATTTATAAAATAAATTGCCAAAACTGTTCATCCCAATATATTGGAGAAACAAGTAGATGTTTGAAAAAATGCATTTATGAGCACAAAAGAGACCTCACAAAAAGCAACTTAGCTAATGCACTTGTCATACATAGAAATAAATTCAACCGTAATTTTGATTTTAAAAATGCTACACTCATAAAAAAAAAAATAACTCACTCAGAAGGAAAATTCTGGAGAGTGCTGCCATAGAAAATTACCCAAATATTAATCTACGCCCAGGTTTTTCCCCATTTCACCTTTCTTAAGAAAAGTACTGCTCTTACAAACAAATATACACAACAGATTCATAAAATCAAAAGGAAATGGTTGAATACATCAACACAAATATAATGACAATATTCTTCAGACGTGACAAATACTGACGTTATTTTTCAGTTAAAAAATATGAAAATAGCGTTTCTCTACATTCCAGTTGCTAGGTACATTCTGTTTTTATTAGTTAATTTATTCAATTAATTTCATATATATATATATATATATATATATATATATATATATATATATATATATATAATACCTGGCCACTCATATTTAAGGATACTCATGTACTAGGGCGGTTAGCCAATCCCTATTGCAGACTTTCACTCAGGCACATTTGTGTTTGTTTAACACCCACGGCGCCAAACTGTGGTCCATAATGCAACTATGCTGGGCAGACTTTAGTTACAATTTCTGGGAGAGAGTGTGTTATCTAGAATAAGCAACAATGTGAACAACACCAGCACATTCAAACCCTCGGTCATGATGACTTGTGTCTTCATGCTAGCACAGCTATCAACAGCCCCATGTGTTCTGTCTACCCAATTTTACTTACATTTCACTTTCTGACCATGAGGCCTGGGTTTGAATCTCATTATGGTTGATTTGTCAGTAAGGAGATTCCTGATACTATCAGTCTGGAGAGGGTATGATCCCAGCATGTGGTACCTTTGGAAAGTGCCTGAAAACCATACCACAGGCAGACCCAAGTCTTATGAGTGAAATATATATATATATATATATATATATATATATATATATATATATATGTATGTATATGGGAAATGATAATTTCTCAAATCATAAATTTAGATAGGATTTTTTTTTTAACATGCTTCTTTCCTTATTAGTGATTGTTTAATAAGTGGTCATTTTTAAGTTGACTTGACAAAAAACAATAATAAAAATAAGAAGAACAGACCAATACAAGAAATGTACAATGTAATACAAAGCAACACAAAATGAAACAAACAGTTATAAAATTTTGACTTCAAGTTAATAAAAATTGAATGGATAAGACTGAGAATTACCCCTTTTTATTGGCTCAGAAGAAATCCCAGCATGTGTCTGTAGGATTTATCTATAAATATGGAGAATTGGGATTTTTAGCAATCGTCCATATCAAATTGGCACCAACAAGTGATGCTTCCAAAGTAATGCTTCTTATATATTTCCACATAAACTACAATGGATACAGTACAATAATCCATTAACATCATTGGCTAGAACAGTCAGTTATGTGCCATGCATGATACATACTTAGGCGATCATATATCTTTCGATACATGACTGACGAGGAAGATTTTTTTCCCGCAGTAGGTTGTCATTTCTTTCTGCGGTAGACCAGTTGCCATCCAAGGCTATAGAACCTGGCCTTTCCTGCTATTTACCCATAGCTGGGGAGGGGGAGAAGAAGAGGATTCATGCCTTTCCCAAGAGTATTAGCATCTAAGTGAATGTAATGGATTCAACTAGAATTCGAAGTCAGCTCTTCGATTACTCAATCCAAGCTGCTATCCATTACTCCACCGCAAGTGTTCAGTTATAAAACACAAATTTTCCACATTGTCATCACCACTGGTTAAGCCTTTGTTCCAGTGGTTAACATTTTTGTGCTGTGCGCTGTTCAGGGCTGCCTAGAATGTACATTTGGCTCTCATCTCTGCTGAAATGCATTACCTACTGTGCTACTGTATTCACATTAACTGTTTGGTCTCTATAAACATTCAGCAGCTTTGAAGAATATCATCGGGTGTAATTTGTATAGCATGGAGGAAATCAACGATAAACTTCTGCTCTGTATTCACTTTCATATCAGATGCCATATGAACAATATCCACCACTGATGTAGGCCAACACAATAAAACTGGAGACATTATTTTGGAGCACCCCTTGTGTAAAATAAGAAAAGTATTGAACAATCAGTTGTTACACTTACAGAGTTGGCCTTTTTATTAGCCGGTGTTAGTGGCTTTTGTTTGCATGCAAATTGTTTTGAATGGTTTGGAAAAGGAGGAGAACTTGGCGGTCTGCATGTGCCCGAAATGTGTGGTAGAGTTCCAGTTGGTCGACAAAAGTTATTGCTGAAAGAACAAAAACTAAATGTATTTATTGATTTCATAATAAGAGTTCTTATTAATATATATATATATATATATATATATTACAGTCAAAACTTTTAAAGCCATCCCCAGAATTAGCATGGGATAAACTGGACAGAAAATTTTTAAAAAAAATTAAAAAAGAGCTCTTGGAGTCATTTAAAAAACAATGGAATCAATTATCAAACTTAGACTTTGAGAAACTTTTGCAATGAATGCCAAAGGCTAAAGCAGGATATTTTGACAAGAGAATATTATATACATACATACATATATATATATATATATATATATATATATATATATATATATATATATAAATATATATAAAATATGATTAATTACTTAATTGGAATTACACTCGAGTTAAATACAGGTTAATGTTGATTTTGTTGTATAGAGTGCTCAATATCCTGAGGATAGAGCAACATATGGAATGCCAGATATTTTAGATCTTATAACATGATAAGCATAAGGAATCAGCTATTACCAACACCATTACCACTACTAATTGTATCACTGTTATATAGAAATAAAGAGTTGCTGCTGACACTGGAGTTTGAACACAGATTGCCAGAGAAGAAACACAGGCAATCCTGTTTTGAATAATTAGATCACATGACGGTAAAGGAAATATATATATGGGAATTACCATGGAGTCTAAGCAATCACTATATGGATTTCAATTCAAATCACTATTAGGTGGTTACTTTCCAAGTGATTATTATCGAGCAAGTACTATTTGTGTGAGTGTTATTCGAAGGCATCTGGTGCCAGTATTGTTGCTATAGTTGTATCTGTAATTACAAAGTCTTTACTACAACAAGCATTATGAAAGTGACAACAAGTATTTGTTGACAATATGAAAATGGCAATGAATGTTCGTTGACATTACGAAAGTGGCAATGAGTATTTGTTGACATTACAAAATTGGCAACGAGTGTAGTTGACATCACAAAAATCAGCAAAATTATCATGGTGATAGGTTTTATTAAAGTAGAACATACTCAATCACTGAAAAGTTTACTTACATGTTTGCTTATCATATTTTAATAAGATCTTAAATATGTAAGATTATACTATATATATATATATATATATATATATATATATATATATATATATATATTGTTGTAGCATACCGACAGATGATAAAGGGTATGTCCCCATTCACATAAATACAGTTGTAAATACTGTATGTTGGTCTGCAACTGGAGATTTGTCTCCAGCTGTGCTGGTCAAACTCTCTACCTCTTGGCAGAGAGGATCCCCAGACAAGGCTATGCCCAACCCCATTTTATATAGTGTCTACGGGGAATTTTTGGCAGAGCTTACGGGTTTGGATACTCCACATTAAATTCAGCCTTGTGCCACATCTGACCGTGTGGGGCAGTTGGTAGATATTCTGCATTTGAATATTCATTGTGGAATTTATTTGACACACTTCTAGCAGTTGACTACTTCTTCTACATGTTGCTGGCGAATCTTATATGTGCTGTTCATGTCCTATGTATTATCGTTTATTACCAACCTTTGTGAGATTATTCTATTCAGTAACCTTCCTTAGGTTACAACACACACACACACACACACACACACATATATATATATATATATATATATATATATATATATATATATATTTAATATATTTTTGTTTATACATTTTTATAGATGTAAATGCTCTGTTTATAATAAACAGTATTAACAACATTTACTGGCCTGAATGTACAAAAAATCCAAAAGAAAATATGTGTCCTCCAACAGGAATCGAACATGTATCATACACAGAACTGTCCTATATTTTCCTTGGGATTTCTTGGACATTCAGGTCAGTAAATTTACTTAAATATTTGTATCAATAAAAATAACAAAAAATAATTAAAATAATTGTCGGACTTAGTCCATTTTCATAATATATATATATATATATATGTAAAAATTCAAATACAAATAAAATATACATGGTAAAAGGACAATATGAATAAAGACAAAAGGAAAACATTTCTTTAGCATTGTGTTTTTGTCATCTAGCATTCTTGAGATCATGCCAAATTTATTAAAAGAGAAATATGTAACATTATACTATATATATATATATATATATATATATATATATATATATATATATATATATGTAAAAATTTAGATAAAATAGACTGTAAAAAGTCAATATGAATAAAAACAAAAGGAAAACTTTCTTTATTACTCTTTGTGTTGTCTCGCATTCTTGAAATCTTGCCAAATTTATTAAAAGAGAAAATAGCTTACTTAGTTGGAAAGTTCTTGAATGTGCAACATGCAACTATTGATTATTGCAAAAATGTTAACTTGCATCCTGCATTTTTTCAGATATTTCCTTGCATAAAAGAAATACCTTCTTTTCAAGCCAGCATAAAAAATTTAAAAATCCAAAGAAAACAGATAAGAAGACAGTCTATTACTTAAATAAATACAGAAAACTTTATCAAATTAGAATAAATTAATAATAATTACATTAAAAATAAGTGCATTTATACAAATAAAGTAAAAGTTCAACAATAACAATTTTTGCTCCCTTTCATTTATTAGGCATAAAATTACATCAATTACCAACATTCATAGTTTACTTTTACTTGCACAGTTAGTATTAAGTATATTTTAGAGGATTCTTAAATTCAAAAATTTTGGAAAATTAATATTTTCCCTTTATTTTATTTTATTTCTGTTTATAAAAACATGTTGCCAAACAAATCCTTACAATTACCCTGGTAAAATGCATAGGTAATGAAAAATTTTCCTTTTGTTTTCATATATATATATATATATATATATATATATATATATATATATATATATATATATATATATATATATATATGTATTTTGCCAGGAATTGTTTCTAATATGTTTGGTTGAATAATATGAACAATTTTATAGACAGAAGTTATTAATATCACAAATATATATATGTATATGTATATATATATATATATATATATATATATATATATATATATATATATATATCCATTTAAAATTACTTTTGTTTATGTATTGCATACTAGCTTAAAAGCTAGCTCCTGCAGAGGTTTCTTGATTGAGGCTTCAACTTGTTCAGCAGTTTCAGAGTCCCTCAGTCTTTGCATATTCTCAGCATTGAAAGCTCTCCTAGCTGACATTTGATCTGGGTTTTCATTTGCAGGGACTTTATTTCCTTGCTGCAGCCTTGGCTCTTTTGGTCCTCTGTTGGTGGAGATTTCTTTTCATAAGATATAGAGTTGCCGTATGTGATAGGCAACAATAAATTATGGAAGAACTCAAAATTATCAATGCATTAAAATATTGCATTAATATTTAAGCTTACCTTTTAAAAGTTCAATGATAATTCTTCTGTCACCGTTTAATTTAAAGACAATTTGATGTATGTAGGTCCTTACTTTGCATACAAACAATTATTTTTATTTCAGGAGTGGATTTCACAATTAATTTTGATTATTCTCAAATTTATTTCCAAGTTATAAAAATTGTTATTGTACAAAAGAATTTGTCACAGAAGAACATGAAAAATTTTCCAAAAACAATTTTGGGAATCCAAAATTTCTGAAACATGAGCTGCTGAATATATATATATATATATATGTGTCCCTTTAATTGAAAAAGTGTGAACAAGTGACACACTGACATTTGCATATATTATATAGATGAATCTATAGCTTGTATTTATAGATTTTGAAATGTCCCAATGAGGGATGTTCATTTTTAAGTAAGCAATTGAAACTTGCTTTTCATAATAACTTTACTGTGGCTGACTTGGTAGGACACACACAAAAACATATATATATATATATATATATATATATATATATATATATATATATAGTGAACATTGAAGTCAACACCAGAAGTCAACAGGCTGTTTCCTGCTAGACACAATCGTCAGGCATGATGATTGCAGTTAGCATGAAACAGCCTGTCACCTTTTGAGTGTTGACTTCAATGTTCACTTTTACATTTATGTTTACGTACGCTCTATCTCTGATATTTAGCACTTTATCCCTTAAATATAGCACACCTTGAAACTATATTTCTTCATATATCTATATATATATATATATATCTATATATATATATATATATATATATATATATATATATAAAGAGATATATAAAGGAAGATCACTAAGTTTTGATATGAAATTTTCACTTGATAATGTTCAATCAGTGATTAATATTCATCTTCAAATTTAGTTCATTGACAAAGAATGACATTTTGTTGAAACATATGTATTTGGTATGCAAAATGAACAATTTTTAATCATTAATTTCCAGATATTTATTAATTTGCCTATGTATATAGACATGTATTCCGTCTCATCAAAATATATATAAAAAAAAGTAACTAACCTGTTGTTGACTTTGTTTTCAAAGGATCTTCGTCCTCCTGCTAGAAAAGAACAGGCAGCAAAAAGTGAAATCTAGAATTGCTTGTGCAAAAATCTGGTCACTATTGTTATAGTTACTTGTTCAAATTTCAATTGAGCAATTTAGATTTTCCGAATATAATAGATGTAGACAGGTCAAGAAACAAAATTCTTGGAAGTCATCTGCCTTCTCTTTCCTCTAATATGCTGCAGGACATATTGAAAGCAAGAGAATAAAGGTAAAATAATGCGTTACTTTTTTTTTCTTTTCAATCATTTCACCCACCCTAGAAAAATATATAAAATTGAAAACATTCAGTTAAAAATGAAGAATAAAATATATCCTTGGTAATGGTGAACAGAATAGCAAAAAATGCTTAGATATAGAGAACAATAGGACATTTTGTACACAGTGTATGTCCATAAAAGAAATCAATTATAAGAATACAAGAAAAATTGAAGAATAAAATGCTTAATCACAGTACCATGCCAATCGTTTTTAGTGAAACATGCATAAAAGAGGGATTGCTGCCGAAATACACAATTATATATATATATATATGTATATATATTTTAAGAAATTTTTATGTTTATACATTCTTTTTATAGATACAAATATTTAAGTAAATGCTCTGTTTTATAATAAAGAGTATTAAACAACATTTACCGACCTGAATGTCTGAGAAATTTTCATAGAAAATTTTCATCCTTCGACAGGAATTGAACCTGTATCCTATACAGGACCATCATATAGCCTGACATGCCTTTAACTGATTCGCCCACAGAGGAGCGTTCATTTAGCAAGGTCGATTTTATTGTCTTTAAACTTTTAATCTTCCATGAATCTCTCACGTACATTTATATATGCTCATGGCGTATCAAATGTAAACAAATGACGTCACACATTATGAAATGGACAAAGTCCGACAATTATTTTAAGACATTTTTATGCTTATACATTCTTTTTCTAGATACAAATATTTAAGTAAATGCTCTGTTTTATACTAAACAGTATTAAACAACATTTACTGAAACAGACAATAATGGGTATGGCCAAATTCACATAAACACTTTATGTTGGTCAGCAGGTGGAGATTTGTCTACAGCTGTGCTGGTCAAACTCTCTGCCTCTGGGAGTCTTATCTCGGGAAAAACAGCTACCCAACCCTATTTTATACGGGGTCTATGAGTGAATATTTGGCCATATTAAATTCGGCCTTGGGCCACATCTGACTGCATAGGGTGGTTGGTAGATATCCTGCAGTTGAAAATTCATTGTGGAATTCAATTGACTCACTTCTAGCAGTTGACTACTTCTACACACTGCTGGCAAATCTTATATGTGTTGTTCTTGTCCTAAGTATTATTGTTCATTACAAACCTTTGTGTGATTCTTCTATTCAGTAATCTTCCCTAGGTTACAACAATATATGTATATACCAAAGTATTTGAAATGGTACAACACAAAGGTCTATTTGAATTGCTAGGAAACCTTGATTTATTTGAGAAAGATATCAAAATAAACCAGAGCATTTACTTGGCAGAAATATCCTGTATATGGACATGAAATGAATTAAACAAATGCCCAAATATAGAAATCTTCTCACCAGATTAACTTAACCTATACAATGAAAACAATCCTAAGAAAACTAGAAGTCCTACCAGGATTTATTATCTGTGCAAATTCTTAACAGTATAAGAAATGCAGATGATACTCTGTTGAAGGCAGAAACACACAAAAAAAAGCTGCAGAATTGTAGACAAGGTAGTAATAGAAAGGATAAAGAAAGGACAAACTATCAATTGTAAGAAAACAGAATGTATGGTTATTAGCAAGTGGGACATCCCAAGCAAAATGTGAGCTACAAATTGGTGACATTCAAATCAAGAAAGTAGAGAAATTTAACTATGTGGTAGAAAATGAGATACAAAAATCTAAAGGATTTTTTCATATATCTAAACCAGCCATAAGCAAACTGTTGAATGTTGGGCTTTCAGCATGGCCCACCTAATTAAATGAGTCGGGGAAAAATGCTTACTAATATTTTCTTTATTTTGTTTCATCCTCACTTATTCCCTCACACTCTCATATAACAAAAACACATACATAAACAATGATTAATGGTAATGGTAGTATTAGCTGTTTCCCTATAAGAAAACATTTGCCATTTATTGACTGAGATGTGAGCTACAAATTGGTGACATCCAAATCAAGAAAGTAGAGAAATTTAACTATTTGTGTTAGACATTTTCATGACAGTTGTCCCCGAGTATAGAATCCAGAGGTTGGCAGTGAATATTTCGGAGACAGTAGGAAAGCGTAGTGCAGGTTCGCAGTGGATATCGCAGCAAGGTAGCAGAGCGTAGTTCTTCCGTCTGTCCTGTTCGACGGACAAGTTGGATCTGGTCAGGTTGATAGGAGAAACAAAGATGGCCGCCTTTATACACGACGGATACAATGTTCAGCGGCTTCTGATTGGTCAACCTTCTATTGGTAGACTATAAAGGGAAATAAGTCATTTTGACTCACTCACTAGTTATGTATAGTATATACCCCAAAAAACGTAACAATTTGGTGGAAAATGTGATACAAAAATCTGAAGGTGCATTCAAATAGTGAAAGATGCCTTCCAAAAATTAAATAACGTATTACGAAACAGGAAGGCTTCATCAAAAAGGAAGAAAAAACTGCCAAACTGCTATCAAATATCAAGCTTCCTATACATCACTGTATGATGGATTCAGATGCCCACAGATGAAGAGGAGACTTGAGACAACAGAGATGTGATTCTACTGAAGGATGCTGAGAATATAATGGAAGGAGGATATGATCAACAAAGAAGTTTTAAAGAAAATGGAAACAAAAAGGACACCTGTGCTCCAGATCAAAAAGCAACAGTTAAAATTTCTGCAGCAAATTATGAATAAAGGGGGCTTGGAGAATTAGACACTCATAGAACATACTGAAGGGAAAAGGTACAGAAAGAAACAATGATTAAAAGATTTAACAAGCTTGTGCAAGTTGATGGCAGGACATGATTTGGTAGAGATAGTAAGGGATTAACCATTAGTGAGATCTATGAAGGATTAATAGCTTGAATTGGCTATGTCCTGAAGAGTCATTACACATTGAAGGAAAAGAAGTCATTTGAAATTAAATAATATTCATTGTACAAATAAAGATCAAGTTTAAACAGCTTTTTTCTTATGATGGAAAGAAAATAAAGAGGAAAAGAAAAAACAAAGTGTTATTATTTTTACTTTTACTTTTTGGAATGTGATGACTTGTGGGAGATATTTTCGAGAGTTAAATATTAGCTCATATCATCCTGACATCAGTTTAAACAGAGACATTATTTTTTCATATATCTAAACTGGCCATAAACAATGCTGGGCTTTCAGCATGGTCCACCTAATTAAATGATTTGGGGGAACATGCTTACTGATATTTTCTTTATTTTGTTTCATCCTCACTTATTCCCTCACACTCTCATATACAAAAACACATACATAAACAATGATTAATGGTAATGGTAGTATTAGCTCTTTCCTTATAAGGAAACATTAATTGACTGAGCAGCCAGTATTTATAAAATCTTTCTCTAAAAAGAATTTTTTTAAGAAAACAGGTTTCTCAAGTGTTGTAGCTATTGTGGCAGGAGGCATGAGCCTGAGTTAGTTCATTCAGGCAGTGCCTGCTAACATTTAAAAATAAACTCAACAATCTGACAGGTCAAAAGCAAGGACAAACAAAAATGAGGAATTCAAATAAATATCCCAAAATTTATTCTTGACAAATACAAAACACAATTCCAAGAAAGAAAACGTGAAAGGTTTGAATTTTAAAAATTGTTCCGGGGAAATCAGATGAAAAGCTATGTTTGGGAACTCAAAATCTACTAATGAGAAATGTTCCTTTTGTCATGTGCAAATATAGATTGAAGAAAAAAAAGTTTATATAGTTCTGTAACAATTGTTATGTTACTCACTGTTATCTCTCTTTCTAGTATTGATGGGGATTTCCTTTTTTGAAGTATTGTGAATGTCAACATCTCTATTATGTCATTATTTTCTCTTTGATTTACATGTGATATCCATTTTTGCTGTTGTAGGTAGTCTCCAAATGATTTGGTTTCTGTTATTATATTATTTTTTCTGTTACAGTTCTTTCCTTGTGATTCTGTTACACCAGTCCATAATGTTCAAAGAAAGATAATCTTTGCCAAAATGCTCAGTCTTTACTTGCTCAAAACCTTTTTTCAACACTGATCTTAGAAAGTGCCTACATACAGTTGACTGCTTAGATATTTCTGAATGTGTTTATTGCTATGCATGGCATCCATATGAAAGTCTCAATCTGGCAAGAAACCAAATTTTCAGTTTGATGTTTTGGTTTTGAAGCAATTTGTGGACTTGAGCAAATCTACATCTGGCCTATTCTACATTCAATTTACTTTTCTCCTATGCTAAATTAAGCATAACCAAATAGATAAACAATAATTAAGTTTCTTGATTTTTTGTAACTTTTTATTGATAACATTTTCAGAATGTTAAACTACTAGAATTTTTTTGCAACCTGTTGACACATGTGGAAATCCTCACAGTATTTAGTATTGTTGAAATTATTGCTAACATTTTCTGTTGAGATTTACAAACTCTACTTTCCCTATGCTGTTCATATTTCTAGTGCTACTACTGTGCATTATATTTTACCAGAATTAAATATATATAAACATATAAACTAATAAAATTATTAATAAATTATTACTAATTATAATAATTTTTTCAATAAGATAGGAAATTATAATAATTATTAATAAATTATTAATAAATTATATATAAGCCAGAATTAAATATATATATAAATATTTTAAAAAAGCTATGCAAAAAGCAATATTGCATTTTTATTAAATCAGAATTTGTTATTTTAATCCCTAAATATTTTTTAAAATAGTGAGAGTATTTTGTATGTTAAATAATAAAATTTAGTTTTTCCCAAAGAATTCATGATAATTTATTGTAC